TTTTAATTTTTCATTTTAGACAAACAAAATAAGCTTTGCATCATCAATAAATTGAAACAGGTGTTTTATTTTTTTCCTACGTATTTCACAATATTATTTTTTCGAATTAAAAACCAATTAAAAACAAAAAAAAAAAAATTCAATATTTGGATAAAAACAGCTTAAATTCATAAAGAATTAAAAAAAAATTTTTAATATTTTTATTTTTTGTATTTTTTGTTTTATTTTTTAAAAACAATAACGTGTCACGTAAAATCTGTTAATATTTAAGTAATGACGTTTTATTAAAAAAATTTTCCAATTAAAAGTGACAAATAGATTAGGGGCATCCTTTTTCAAAGTATTTAAATTTAAGCATAAATTACATGCATAAATATGTATGTATAATATGTATAATATTCATAATACGTACATATGTATGTAATAATGTAAAAATTAATTCATATTAATTTTTTAAATTTAATATTTTCCGTGGTCTATATCCAATATCCACATCTTAATCCTAATATAAGAAAAGGTATTTGACAATTCGTCAACGTAAATTATATCGTAATAATTTATGTATACGTATGCCTTACGTGTTTAATTGATTAACCGTTTGAATTTTATGTACCTACTTATTTGTGTATCTTATTTGCAAATCTAATGTTGAATTTTGGATTCTTTTCCATATTTTCCTATATCCTCATATATAAGTTTGTATAATTCATTCTCATAAATTTTGCCTTCAAAAATTTATTACGATCTTTAACATACGATATCACAATTGGGCTCTTTGTTAATAACTGAAATATGAAAAAATCGTATAATTAAAATGAATTTTTTTTAGTTTATTGGCAACAAAATTTTTATTATATAAAATAGTTACTAACTCATATTATATAAGTACTTAATTTGTAAATATTAACGAATAAAATAATATAATATAAAAATATTTAATACAAATATTTTTTCGAAAATTTTTAATATTTTTTTGTTCTATACTTATATTTACTTATTTTTTTTTGAAAATATTATTAACATTAAATAATTATTTAGATGTTTTTAATTTGAATTTTAATTTTATGATGCAATATTTGTTTTTCCTGCCACATACCACACATGTTACCATATTATTGGTAACATATGTATGTGACCGTTTTAAAAAATAATTTGAAAAATATATTTAAAAAAAGATTTTAATTAATTTTTTTGTTTCATTTTCGTCCGTCTGTTTGAATTAAGTGTTTTTAATGCTCTTATTTTATATGAGGGAATTGTTAATCGCAATGTGTATTAGATGAAACATAACTTAGTCTCGTATAGGTAAAGTAGGTGTCTTCAATTTCTGAAAATTTTCTAATGTCAATATCTAAAATCAATTTCTGTCAACTATTAACAAGCTTAAATAAATACCAGTTTTAGACTTAAATTTTGAAATGTGCTCTTTTACAAATCATGAGTTTGATCGAATACAATGTCAAAATTAATATAGAAATATTGAAGTTAATAAGTAACAAATTATTATTCTATAGTTATTTCGATTGCTATTTATTCTTATAATGCAATTTCATGTATATATTTTTAAATATTTCAATGTTATATTTTTTAATTAAAATTTTATTTTTTACATAAACATTATAAATTTTTCAGTTTTAATATAGATTCTAAACGAAAAGAGTATAGTCTAATCATTCTCAATTAATAAATTTTCTGCTCTTATAAATTAAATATTATAATATTTTATGATTTTGTAATTAATTATTTGACCTCGATTCTTTAACATTTTTATTTTTAGTTAATCGATTTTAAAATATGTATACATATATACTTATACATATTATTAATATATGTGATAAATAAGTATGAATAAATAAGCGTTGGCACATAAGTAATTAATAATAGTTCAATTTGATTTAGGGTTCAAGGACGCTTGTACTTAAACAACACAAGATTTTCAATAAGATTGAAACTAACTTTAATATAATAAACATATAAACAATATACAATATAAATATGTATATATATTGTGTACATATGTATGTATACAAATGTTAATATAGTTAAATAAATATTAATAATAATTTTTATTAATTTTTTAATTATTATTTTAATATTTTTAATTTTTAAAATTATTTATTGCGTATTTGATACGTATACTTTGAACGCCTAATATAAAAATGTATTAACTCAAAAAAAAAATTAATTTCGAAAAAATTACGGAAAAACTTCTTTCTTCGACTGACTAGTCACCTGTATAGTTAAAAATCAATGAACATCAAACCCAATGGATAACCATATGTTCCTATATTCTGGTAATATCAATTTTACATCTTAATTTGGGTATCTTAAAAGTTTTTGTATACATACATACTTTTGTATATAGAATATTGACATTTATACATTTCTGTAATTATATTTAGATGCAATATAAATTTTTTTAATATTATTTTAATTTTTAAGGAATAAAATTGATAAAATTTGAACATTAGGACAAATAATTGCAGCATTATTTATACGACCTGTTTTTTTTTTCAGTTTATTAATTGGGGCTCTTTACAATCCTGATTTATTACTTAGTCGAGTTGCTTGCATTGAATTCTAAATCTCTTGAGTCTAAACAGACTTTAAATTATTTGACCATTTGCACAATAGTTTTACAATTTGTACAATAGTCAGCTGTTTTCAATAATGCAATTTTAATTACCCTACCGTTGACAGCACTTTTTATCTATACATTATGGAAAAGTTTTGTGAATTTTTATTCCTATACTAAATTGAATCTGAAAAATTACATTTTCTAAATTTAAAACACTTTCATTTTAAGAATGATGAGAGGTTCGATTTATTCTTTTACTTGTACCTACGTGTACACCACATAAATTTCATAAATATTATTTTATTTTCTTTATTTTTAAGAAAAAAAAAAAATTTAAATAAAAAAATAAGAAACACTTGTCTTTATTTAAGATTTTTGATTATATTTAAAAAAAAAACAAGTAAAATTAAGTAAATAATTTTTAAAAAAATTTTTTTTTTTCTAATAACAAAATTTCAACAACACCATATAACGTTATTAATTTAAAACAAAAAAAAAAAAAAATTTTTTTTTTCCAAAAATAAAAAATAAAAAGTACTACAAAAATTTAACCATTTACGTGTTGTTGTTCAAATTCGTCTATCTATCGGTGTGAGCCGCGTACGGTGTAACATAAAAATTTCGAAAAAAATAAAAAATAAAATAATAACGATACCATAAGAGGAATTTATTAAATTGATCAGTTTAAGTGCGAATTGCATACAGAAAACTACTTTCTTTTTCATTATTAAATACTTACATATTCCGTATCAGAAAAGAGTCAAACTATTATACAAAATATAAAAGAAAATTAAACAAAAATTAAAAAATTTTAATAAAACAAGTAAAATTACAATAATAAAGTGAAAAAAATAAAACGGAAATACGCAAAATAAAAATAAAAAAATATTTTCTTTCTGCTTTTTGTATTTTTTTTTTAAATGTTTATTTTTAATTTTTAGTTTTATTTTTGATTACATTTATTAAAAAAAAAAATAACTTTTTAAAACAAAAAAAAAAAAGTTAAAAAAAAATTGCACTACAAAGAGTAAGAGACTTTCCTTCTTTAAAAAATACACAAAAATTTATTGACGTACGACGACGACGACAATTTAACGTGCATACGAAAAAAAAAAAATCAGAAACAAAATTTTCTTTTTTTGTTTTTTTTTTTACTCTTATTTATATATCACTACTTTTCATTTTACAATCCGCGCTGAATTGCTGCAACAGTGGCATAAACTTAAAAAATACAATTTTTGAATTGAGTTGAAAACAAAACAAGAGCGATTTTCCGCTTTTGTGGCGAAATGTCAAAATTCATATAGAATACACGAAATTACTGCCACGAAATTACCGCCACCAATTTTAACGTACCCACTGTCGGTTAGGTAACAAATAGCCTAAAATCTATTCTGGTTTAACAGCAATTAGTTCTGGATTAGCAACAGAATTTGTCCGCCGTTACCGTTCACCACTTTCAATCTGTTTTAACACAATTATTTATAAAAAAAATAAGCAGTAATTGAAACATTAAATTTTTTAGCCATTTCTCTAACTTACAAATTGTCACTTGCAATAATAATAATAATAAAATAATTCTTGTTATAAGAAGAAAATTATATTAAATCTCAAAAATTTTAAAATTAAATTTTCTCGAATATTGCAAATTTTAAGTTATTTCAGTGTTGCAGTAAAATTAGTGATGTGTGTATATGCATAATATATACATTTACCTGTTGTACTTGTACTCTCTTAAATTCAATAAATTTAAATTTTCTTTTTGCTATTGTTAATTTTTTTTTATTATTTAAAATTTTTTTCCTTTTTTGTAAAATCAAGTTTTGTTGTTATGTTATTACAACAGTAAATATCGTAATACCGGGTAATAATAATATTGAATAACATCAAAAAGTACAATTAAAATAAAAGAGAAAAAAAAAAAATCAAATTTTATAATTGTAACTTGTGTGTGTAGTCCGATCGAGTTTTTTTTCATGTCCAATTTTTGTTTTTAAGTTTAAAAAACTTTTTCAATTCAAATTGACAAAAAAAAAAACTCTCTTATTAAAATTACTGTTATTGTTGTACTCGATTGATGATTACTTTCTTACTCTTGTCTATAACTAAAACAAAAAATAATCGCAAGTAATCAAAGCTACTAATCTGAATTTTGTAAGCAAAAAAGAAAATGAAAAATATTGTAAACATTAAATGAAAAAATACAAAAAAGAAGAAAGAAGAAAAGCAGATAATAAAATTGTGTGCATTTTATTTTGATTATAGATTTTTGAAAAAATACAAATAAAAAAAAAAATACTATAAAATTATTTATACATATATATTTTTTTTCCTTCTTGTTTATTATATAAAACAGATAAATTAAAAACAAAAAAGGCGCCAATTTTAAAATCTTTTCTTTGTGTATTTTATTGTTTATATTGTAAAATTAAATAATCTATAATAATGTACGGAGCGATACGTAGAAGAAATTTATTTTATAATAATGATTTATATTTTAAAAATATGAGCATTTATAATAATAATAATAATGAAGGTGAAGAGGTAATTATTATTTTTTAAATATTTAATTTTTTGTTGTTTTGCAATTTAATTTATTTATTTGTTAATTTCGTCTTTCGGACAAAATGTTGACGGATATTTAGATTAGATTATAGGTACTGAATTTCTCACGAAATAGAATATTGAATTAAGATTTTCCCATAAAACAATTTAAAATTTTCCCTCAAATATTTCAACACATTCATAAAACATCAAAAAACACCAAAAAATCCGATAGTATAACAATAAAATGAAATATGACAAATGAATAGGCTTTTATATGAATATTATAATGAATAATGTTATATGTATGTATATAACGGTAGAAAAATTTTATATATACATACTTAAATATTCACCAATAAAACAAATTGTGGGAAACTCTTACAAATTTTGTTTTGTAAATTTATTCAATTCTAAAAATCTGTTATATGTAGATCAGTATTGTAAATGGTGAAAACTATTGTAATTTATAAAAATTCCCATACCAATAAATTTTTTATAAAATTTAATAAAAAAGTTACCCTTTTTCAAATTTTTTTGTTCAAATTCCCATAAGTAATATGGGAAAAATCCCGCAATATTATAATACTTGCCTTGGCTCAATATTGTAATACCTGCCTTGAAATTCAAACAAATTTCTCTAAAAGAAATAAAATGATGCCATAGTTTAAAGGAAGATTGAAAAAATAATGTTTGTGTCCCCATTTACGCTATATTGGGTCCCCATTATGCTATACCGAAACAGAAATCAATTAAAAACAGTTATCTTATTATAATAACAATTTTGTTATAATAAAATTTAAATAAAGAACGAAAACAGAATTTTATTTCGAAAATGTAAATCTTACCGTTACATTGTACCAAATTGGTTAATTTTAATTAATTTGTCAAAAAAGGCGACATATAAATGGTCCACCCTTTTTAGATATACTTTAGCGTGTATGTACATACATATATGATTTAATACTCAGATCAGAATGAAGAGATTATATTACCTTAAATGAATACATTCTTCTTTAATATTTCATTAGATGTATATACATACATACATACATATGTATGTATATTAGTTATAAATTTTTTTATTATTTTAATTTATTGTGTATTAGCAAAAACATTTTTGTTTAGCAAAAAAATCCCTCATAACTAATCATACACACAAACATAATAATAAATATATATATAGTATACATATATGTATGTATATGTATATAAAAGAATTTGCTAAGTAGGTCACGTTTTTATTTTATTATGCTTATTTAATAATTATGATTTTATAAATTACATGCTTTGAATATTTCTATATACACAAAAAATTTTAAATTGAAGTTATTTTTATTAAAGAATTATGAGTTTTTCTATAAGCTATTATAAACTATAAATAATAATTATTGATAGCAAAAATTATATTACTAAATAATATTTATGTACAATCATCATAATATTTTAAGCAATTCATAAAACCCATATAAGAAACTATAATTTGAAATTAATTATACTTAGTTTTGCTCCTCTGTAATACATGAAACGTTTACTCCTCTATGCATTGAAATGTAAAATACATAAATGCTAGTATATGTATTCTTAATTATTAATAATTAATTTTCATCTGACATTTTAATTATTTAGAAAAAATATATAATTAAAGAAAATTTATAATGAACGGGAGCAAAAAGTGAGTAGGTTCTAGAAAATGTTTAACAACAAATAATTGAAACAATATGAATATATCAAGGGCTTATATGGAAAAACTTCTACATATTATAAAAATTTTCGAAATAATTTAGAACAAAATTCTTAAAATACCATACTTCCCTACTACTTGTTACAAAAACATAATATGTAGATTGTAAATTAAATGAAAAACGATTTGTTTTCCAAAATATTGCAGTCAAAATGTCTAGTAATATAAATTTGGTTCAGGTTCTTAAAATTATTTGCAAAATGTTTAAATTCTCTAAATGTTTCTAATTCTAAACTCACTATAAACCTTCGATATATTAGTTGAACAATTAATAGTTGATTTGTTATATTACTCTAGGACCATTCTAGCTGAAAAATTAGTAAGGCAGCTTTTCAAATTTCTTTCAAACACTTTTATCTTGAAAATCTTAACTTTTACAGAAAACAATTTTCAATATTTTTTATTTAATTTTATGTAATTTGAATATTAATTGTAATAATATATTAAAAAAAACAATTAAATAAGCTAATTAATATTTTTATTTGGAAAGCATGTCCGTTTTAACCAGATTTAATTTTAAGCACGTTTAGAAAATTCTTAAGAATACATACTTTTTTTTTAATAACCCCAAAAATTATATTGATTTTGATTAATAGTTTAAGTATTTATTTACATACATACATACATACATATATAATAATGAATAAATTTAATCACAAAGCACAAATAGAATGGTTGTAGCTATTTACATATATAAAATTAAGATAAAGTTAACATTAAATTTGTCTACAGTCTAAATCATAATAAAATTCGAAATCTGTTGACAAAATTAATTTATTTTCTAAAATATATTCATAATCACATTATTTAAGAATAAAGAATGAACTCTTGCTTAAACTATTACTCTAAAAATTTTCATAGAACAAAAATCTTATAACCAGTTTTTTTTTATAAAATTCTTTATATATACTCGTACTTAATCAATTTCTGATTATACAATTCAAATTTACATAAATGCTAATATCGAACAGAACTCAGGTTAGTGATTTACTAAATAGCACTTAACGGTTAAATCGCAAATATTTACCATATTTATACTTATAACTTGTCTACAAATACGTACTACTTAATTTTATTTTTTTTTTGTTTGGGTGAAATGAAAGGTTTTTGCTCTTTTATAATTAATTATATGCAAAAAAAATTTTTTAAATGATTCAAATAAAAAAAAAATAAATAAAACGATTTGAATTAATTTTTAAAAAATGTTTTTTTTTTTTTTATTATAAGTAGATTCTTCAATATTTTATTCTTCTATCTATATTAGTTATATGTGTAGAAAATAGTTTATTGTTAGAGTTGAGTTACGAAAACAAATAAGATACAAAATATTCACCCTCTGGATTCTTTTACTCCAATCATAATTGACGTTGTTACACAAAATGGTTACGAATGGGTTGTTATACAAAAATTTTGTAATTTTCTGAATCAAATCAATTTTATAATTTGAAAATTCTATAAGTACCTACTGAAAACTATTTTTCAATAATATCCAATTACCTCAAATTGGATACTATTAACAGAATAGTGGTGAACATGAATTTTAAAAGTATTAGGCGTTTTCTTTCCAAAAATTATTTTTTATTAAATAAAAATAATTAAAAAATTTATTTAAAATTATTGAAATACTTAATAGAAATCATATTGGGTAATTAATATTTCAAGTATTTTAAATTCTAATTAAATATTTGAAAAAAAAATTGAAAAATGATTTTCTGAATTCTACAGTGACTAACCTAATTAATTTTTGATACAGCAAAATCTCGTATAAACGAACACAATTTCAAAGTAATTATATGTATGTGTTGTAGTATTTAAACAAATATTTAAATTATAATATGCCGCCTTTATATGTTTTGGTTGCCTTTACCACTCCTGGGATAAGCATAGGGCTGGGACACGATAAATGCAAATAACCATGAGCCAATTTCTTATGTCATTGAGTTTACTATAGATAGATGACGAGCCTATCGTACTTTCTATATTAAATATTTAAGGTTAATGATATTTACAATTTTATTTTGCTGCAATTTTATTTTTAATACTGGATATTATTAAAATATGACAATTTGTTAATATGTATTAATTTTTTATTTTTATATGAAATGTGTTTGTAAAGCTATATAATATTGAATATAATTTTTATAGTGATCTGACTTGGCTATGAACCCGAGATCTTTCTGTTAAAAAACCAGTGCAATAACCACCAATGCACTACACTGGTCAAGTTGACCTTTACCATAATTGTTATTTTAAATCAAATAAAATTTGGAAAATCGAACTTTTTATGCACCAATGTACACACGTACATTATGAAAAGAATTTTTTGAAATTATTATTTATTATAATGTTTCCTATTCAATAAATTTAGGCATTCTTAGTCACTAAAATAGGTATCTCAATAATTTTATTGAATAAATAAAAACAAGATTGCACGTATTGATTCAAATTTTGTATGACGGACGTTTTTTGGATATTTTGAAGTATATAAATGAATGTATGAATTTTGTGGACTCCCATATATCGAAGTATGCCTGTATGATCATTTTATACTCTAATATTATTTTATGAATCTAAACATTTTTATGTTTTTTTTTTTTTTTCTTATATTTTATAATTAAAAATTGAATTCTTTTCTGTCAATGAACTCTTTGACAAAACTAAACAATATGTTGTTTGTAATATTATAAAATATGTAAATATGTACATATATGTATATATATAATATACATACATGTATTTATGGAAATATTTTTAAAATTTGACCTTAAAATTTTTAGACGAAAAAAAAAAAATTTTTTTTTTTTTCTTTCATTTGGCCACCTTTTATTTAATTTTTTTTTTCGCTTGTTAAAAGTTATAAAATATGTGTTTTGGTGTAAATACATACATACTCACATAATATGAATATATGTGTATATTATGAATTATAGGTTAACTTTGTAAAGAAAATGATGATGATGCGTAAAAACTCTTATGTCTTTAAATTGCTGCCTTTTTTTTTCATTTCTAAAAAGAAAAAAAAAAATTCATGATAATAACAAGAAAAAAAAAATGAACAAGCAAAAAATAATTTAAAAAAGAAAAAAAAACAATATTTTTTTTTTTATATATACAAAATATAAAAATTTTCGTTTACCGTTGAGGTCAGTTTTTAGCAGTTTAACTTAAACATTCGAATCAATCGCAACTCAATATTATTAACGTCCTCAAATTGCATATATGTACATTGAAACGCGACGTAAAAACATAAGTTTTTTAAATTTTTTTTTTTGTTTGTTTTGCTTTTTTTTTTTTTTGGGTTTCCTTCTTAATCCGTCTTACAATAAGCCGCAACAGTAATATTACGCGAATCGCACAGAGTCATATATCACAACACTCTTATTTTATTCAAAATTATTCATAATCCTAAATTAATTTCGTTTATGCTACTATTGTAGTTAATTTTATTAATAAAAGTACTTAAAACACCATAATAATATATAAAAATAATTATTGTTAAAAGAGAAGTAGTAAACACTACATATACGCTATTTATTAATTAAAAAGAAACATGCCTATTTATTCAAGTGGATATTATTATTTGCCGAAAAGAAGAGTAAGTGTGTATATTGTGTATAGAAAAAGAGCATTAAATAAAAATATTTAATGGCACAGGGACCATTAAAATTATTAATTTAATAATTTTCCATTAAACATACATATTTGCAATTATAAATAGTAAGTAGCTATAAATGATGAATTGCTTACTATTTACTTAGTATATCTGGTTTTTGTTTTGGGGTAATTTACGCATTGATTCAGTGTGATTTTTAATGTCAATTTGATTTGGTTTGGGTTTTGTCACTTTTATAACCAAAATACAGACTTAAGCTGGAAAATGACGCTTTTAAAATTAACTATAATATTTTAATAATTATTAGTCTTCCAATTCCTCAAACTACAGTGATGACGACGAAATCATTTAAATTGTTGTTTGTATACAAATTATGTTATGAAATTAAACGCGATATTACGATATACAGGAAAGACTGCGTTATATTTATGTTTATAAACAAGTTTTGCTAATCTAATGTGTAAATTTTCGAATTAGAAGAAAAAATCTAATATTCGAAATTTTTACATACCTATACCAAAATAAATATTAGTAGGACAGTTAAATTGTATGAACTGTTTTGATTTTATAGAATAGTAAAAAAGATATTGCATATTCAACACGTTATATTTTTCCAAGTATAATTTATTTATGAAAATTTCTTATTTCTGTCAAACCATCAAAAATCAATCGCATTCTTGTAGAACAATATCAAACATTTTTAATACAATTGTAATGTGCGAGAAAATTTGACTGTAAATTGTCACCAGTCGAAAAATAGTACATACTTATGCGCTTATTTGGAATTTTCAAATTTTTTTTGTTTAAATTTAACTATTAAACACCCTATCATGTACATGAAATGCTTATATTATTAACAATTGTCAGGAAGCTGCAATAATTTTAATACTCGTGCATATTTTTATTTTTTGTCATTTAAAAAAAAAAAAGTTTTTCATTCATCTTAATGCAAAATTGTCTACATTTTTACTACATAAATTAAAAATGTTTTAAATATAGTGAAAAAGAAATGAAATTTTATTATCAACCTCTTCTCTACATCTGTTTATATGTACATAAATACTTACTTATATAAAATATTTAAATATGTTTTTGGTGTGATCAGGGAAAACTTTCTTTTTTTTTGTTTTTTTTTTTTTTCTTGATTTTCTCTTCCTCTTTTCAAGTTTATTATTATTGAAATTGGTAGTCGGAATTATTATGTATGTATGTATGTATGTATATAATTTTTAGTGAAAAAGAAACAATAATATTATTATATATAAAATTTTCCAAAATTAGTAAAATATTATATAAGATTGCTTTTAAATTTTGATACACACTGTACATGTACATATGTAATGTACTAGCTATTTTAAATTGGATATACATACTTACATAAATGACACTCAACATGTTGAGTAGTTGTAAGAAATTTATTGTACAAACAAACAATATCTCTTATCTAGTCCTGTATAACAGAATAAAATTAATTTTAAATTTAATTAGCTTCATATTGGGGTATCAAAAACTGGATACATAGTTATATAACCCTGTGAATGCAGGGTCATTAATATTATATATGATTTTTTAATAATTTGACAAACTAATTTAGTTTTTTTAGTATTTTTGGTGACAATTCTTTTTCTAATAAATTGCATCGAATTAAAAGAAACTTATTGAGAAATTTAATTTTTTTTTTTATTTTTTAGTGTCTTCAAGTTGCTACAAACGTAACAGAACAAAAACATCATATCACACGTGAAATACGTGGTAAAAATTTAGGTGTTTGCCGTGGTTTTCGTGGTTGTACAGTATGGTTAACTGGTTTAAGTGGAGCTGGTAAAACATCAATAGGTTTTGAACTTGAAGCATATTTAGTTTCAAGAGGTATACCAGCTTATGGTTTAGATGGTGATAATATTAGAACGGGTTTAAATAAAAATTTGGGTTTTACACCACAAGATCGTGAAGAAAATATTCGTAGAGTAGCTGAAGTAGCAAAATTATTTGCAGATAGTGGTGTTGTTGCAATATGTAGTTTTGTATCACCATTTGCTGATGATCGTGCAATGGCTAGAAAAATACATAAAGATGGTGACTTAAAGTAAGCTATAAAAAAATATCAAATAATTTTTTAAAAATCTTAAAATGAAATTCATATGCAATAATAAAAGTTATTTTTTAAATTTACCAAAAAAAATACATAGATTCTATGAAATATTTGTTGATACACCATTATCAGTATGTGAATCTCGTGATGTTAAAGGATTATATAAAAAAGCTCGTGAAGGTAAAATTCAAGGATTTACTGGTGTAACACAGGAATATGAAAAACCTGAATGCCCCGATTTAATAGTTAATACTGAAGGTTTCACAATTAGAGAAAGTACTAATTTAGTTATAAAAATGTTAGAAGATGAAGGAATTATTCCAAAAACTTTAAGGGATATTGAAAATGTAATTTTTTTTCTTTTTTTCTTTTCAACGGTTTTTTTCTTAAAACTCCAATTTTATTATGTTTTAGATACCAGAATTATTTGTTGCACCAACAAGAAAATTAGCAGCTATACATGAATCAAAATCATTACCGAAAATTCCAATAACAACAGTTGAATTACAATGGTTACAAATATTGTCCGAGGGTTGGGCATTTCCACTAAGGGGTTTCATGAGAAAACATGAATATTTACAAACAATACATTTTGATTGTATAATAGCAGAAGATGGAGTTTTTAGGGATAATCAGTCTGTGCCTATTGTATTATCTGTCGATGAAGATCGAAAAGTAGAATATGAGGGTAATTGAAAAATATTTATTAAAATTTATTTTGAGAAAATTGAGTTTTCAATTTGATAAAAAATTTTTTTTTTGTTTGTTATTTTTCTAGATGCTAGTGCCTTAACATTGACCTACAATGATAATCCTGTAGCGATATTAAGAAAACCTGAATTCTTCTATAATAGAAAAGAAGAAAGATGTTCTAGACAATTTGGTACAAGTAATCCGTCCCATCCTTATATTAATGTTAGTGTTGTTGTTTGAAACAAAATAATCTAAATTCAAGCTAAATACTTAACAATTTCTCTTTTTAAAATTGTATAGATGATTCAAGAATCTGGAGAGTACTATGTTGGTGGTGATTTAGAAGTTTTTGAACGAATCAAATGGAATGATGGATTAGATCAATATAGATTAACACCAAATGAATTAAGAAGAAAATTTATTGAAATGGGTGCTGATGCAGTGTTTGCATTCCAGGTATATGTGCAATATAAAAAAATTAAAAAAAAAAAAAATGTTTTAAAAATTATTTTATTATTTTTTTTTTTAGTTACGTAATCCAATTCACAATGGACATGCATTATTGATGCAAGATTGTAGAAGGCAATTATTAGAAAGAGGTTATAAAAGACCAGTTTTACTTTTACATCCTTTAGGTATAATTTAATAAATTATTATTTTAATTAAACTGTTATATAAGTATATAAATTTTATTACTATAATTATTAGGTGGTTGGACTAAAGATGATGATGTTCCATTACCAATTCGTATGGCACAACATCAAGCCGTTTTAGATGCTGGAATATTAAATCGTGAAGAAACAGTTTTAGCAATATTCCCATCACCTATGATGTATGCTGGTCCAACAGAAGTTCAGTGGCATGCAAAAGCTAGTAAATAATATTCTACTTTTTTTATTTATAAATACAAACGAGGTCATTGTGTATAAAGTTTTTTTTATACATATTTAAATATATTTTATTTAATTTATATTTACATGTACATAAATAATACTATGTTCATTTGTACAACATTTAGATACTAGCAATATTATTAAAATTTTGTTAAACTATATGTATACGTATTTATTTTAATTTAAGGAATGAACGCTGGTGCCAGTTTTTATATTGTTGGTCGTGATCCAGCTGGTATGCCACATCCAGATAAAGAAATGTATCCAGATGGAAATTTATATGATGCAGCTGATGGTTCCTTAGTTTTAAAAATGGCACCTGGTTTAGATAATATTGAAGTAAGTGTAAATTATACACTTTTAATTCTAAATATTAGAATATTAAAAATTATAAAATTAAATTTTTTTTGTTTTGTAGATTCTTCCATTCCGAGTGGCGGCATATGATAAAACTCAATCAAAAATGTCATTCTTTGATCCAACACGTAAACAAGATTTTGAATTTATATCTGGTACTAAAATGCGTACTATAGCAAGAAATGGTGGAAATCCACCAGATGGATTTATGGAACCGAAAGCTTGGCAAATTTTATCAAAATATTATCAATCATTAACAACTGATTAAAAAATGTATTTTAATTTTTTTTTTTGTTTTTTTTTTTTAATACATAATGTATAGTAAACAAATATAATATTATGTTTATTAAATATTATAATTTAAATTTAGTAAAATGTAATTGTTAAATGAACCAATTTAATTGAAGTATGTAATTAATTAATTAATTTTTTTTTTTGCTACAAAGGAATTAAGAATTGTATAAAGTTTTTTTGTTATAGACAAATTATCCTTTCAGTGATTAGGATTGAATCTTATATTTTTTTTTTTACTGAGTTCATTATTTTATTTTAATAAAAGAAGTATGTGTTATATTGAAAAAACAAAATTGTATTTAAGATAAAAAATTAATTTAATATCTTTAACTTTTTACACATATTTTAATGATTACATTGGTTATATGTAGGATAAATATATATATAAAATAATGTAAATTCATTTTTTTTATTGCTTTTAAACAATGTTAACATTTTTATTTTAAATTTGTAATGTTCTGTTCTGTAATATGATATTTAAAAACGAAAAAACAATAAAAATAATTTTTTTTTCTTAAATCATAATAGTAACAATATTGAAGGATAAATTAATATTTGGCAAGAAGCCCTAGATTTTCCTTTCTAATCTAATTCAAATACAAATTATAGTGAAAAAAGAAGAAGAAGTAGAATTAAAATGCTAAGATTTAGAAAACGCGAGATAAATAAAGGGCAATTTACACAGCTGCATATGAATCAAAAATAGAAGCACAATAGAAGAAAATAAAAATTTAATGTAAAAACTCAAAAATAGCAAAAATATAAATTTTTATATAATAATAATCTTAGTAATACAGAAATATGAACCAATAAAATATGTTTAAAATTCGTTTTTTGCAAAATTAAATCTTCCATCAGCAAATTATTAGTAATGTAGTCAACGGGGGCTTTGCAATAGAAGTAAACTTTGAAATTAAAAATAAAATTTTTCTGATCTTTAAAATTATTTCTGTTATTTGGTTTTTCATTTTTTTAATTATAATAGTTGAAAGATTGTATAGAATAAATAGAAGTTATATTTCTAATTTGAAACTATTTTCAGTATAATAAAAACTAGAGAAATGTTTTGTTTTTATTAATGTTTCTGAGAATATTTCATTATGATAAGGAATAAATGTATGCATTTGCGAATTTTCATAATTACAAATTTTCTCAAAATATTTTTTTTTTTTTTACACAAGACAATCATTTATGTTAAAAATCTGCGACAAATTACAAAAAAATATGTCAATAAAAATCCTATGTCTAAACTATGAAATTTGATATTAAATTTTAGTGCCAATTAAGATCATTAGTTCCTTTCTATTATGTATATATAAAATTTTAATTTTTAATAGTTCGGTAAAGAAATCTTAATATCAAAATTTCTACAATGTTTTAGTGATAACATTAGTTTGTTTGATTTTAGAACCGGATAGAATAAATAAATAGAATGAATTTTATTATGTACAACTCATGGTACACTTGTTCTGTTCTACATTTATGAATAGAAATAGATTTCCCTTTTTTTTTTATTTGAATTTATAAAGAATAAAGCGAATAAGTAATGTTTGCATTTAGTATATAGGTCTAATTTAGAGCTAGCTCTTAATTTTTTAAAATATCATTTAGGAAGAATCAGTGTCCTTTTATTAAATAAATTTGAAAATAATTTTAAAAAATTTATTGGGAGTCAATAATTATGGCTTTTGTTTTTCGTCAATAAAAAATTGTTCGTCAATTCATATCTTATCTATTCATCTATTTAAAAATTAAAATTTTAATAACTGTATCAAGAAATTTTTTATTTAGATATTTTATTAAATTAAATTACGTAAAGCAAAAAAAAAATAAAATAAATTAATTAAAAAAAAAAATTTGCAATTTAATTTGAAAAAAAAAATAATATCAATTTTATATAATTTATGTACATTTACAAATATAAAGAAAAAAATACATATATAATAAATATATATATAAAATATATCTTATACAATTAAACAATAAAATTGTTTAAAAAATTAATAAGCTTGATTCATTTATTATATTTTTTTTGAAGATAAGTATGTAGTCGGATGTAAGTGACCCCCTTTCTCTATTTAAAAATATTAAAAAGTTGTTTTTTAACCTTCTAAATCTCATATCAGATTTAAAATAACACTGTTTTAATTTAATAGAACTTACATATTTAAAAAACCTAAAGAGATATTTCTTATTTCTTTTCATCACATATAATGAATCAAATCTAGATTCAGTTTTGGAATAGCTGAGAGAGACACCCTCATATAATTAGAGGCATCCGACCTAAAAATTTTTCAATCTTAAAAGTAAAATATTATAAGAAAAATAATAATGATTTTATATTCATTTTAACATTTTGCTCTGACTTTTCTGAAATTTCTTTATTATTTACAAAAAAAATATATTTTTAAGTGAGTAGCTTGGTTAACCTTCCCTAAAAAACTACTTGGCCTCCTAAAGCGAGGTCGGTCCTACCGGATAAGAACCCAGGCTATAGACTAACAAATGGCACGGGTTTTATTAGCAAGGATAGAGAATTGCAAATAAATAAAAGTGAATTTTTTTTAAGCTTAGTAATACCATCTCTTTTATTTATTTTATTTGGCTTTTTTTTTTTGTTTTAGTTTTAATTTTTAATTTTTTTTTTTTAGTTTATAACAACAAAAATAAAATAATATTTTGTAATAAGTTTTCGTAATAAAGTCAAAATATACGAATAATAATTTAATTTTAAAATTATAATTTATACTTAGTATAACAGTTTTGTTTTTTTTTTTTTTTGAACTTGTATTTTGTAGAAAAGAGAATTTTTGTATATTTTTAAAATTTTTGCTATGTTTTAGAATTAGAAAAACAAAAATAGGAAAGAAAAAAAAGGAAAGGTTTTGAATTTATCTAATTCATTTCAGTTGTTTTTTGTTTTATTTTATTTTAATATTTAAAAAGTAAGTATTTTTTTTTTTGTTTTAATATCTTTTATTCTCTACAGTCTAAAAATTTTGAAATATTGTGTATGTGTGTTTTTTTTTTCTATTTATTTATATTACTATATAGCACAAAATTTCCGAAATTACAATTAAAATACAATAATTAATAATTAAAGACTAATTTTTATAATTATTCTGTTTTTTAATTTCAAAGGACCATGTCATCAATTGTCACAAAAAAGGGAATTAATGTTAAACATCTGGTATCATTAATTTTTTTTCAATGGCAACACACCAATATTTTTTTTCAATATAAAATTACAATACACAATGACAAATATTTTTGACATTTCAGTTTTTTAATGATGACACTAAAAATGAATGATATAACTTCACTAAAATGTAAGTGATAGAGACAATGATGACAGGCCTCAAAATTTTAATTTTTTTTTCTATTAAATTGTATTGTTCGCTTAAATACATAATAACAAATTTTATAAACAAGGTAAAAAAAAAAAAACAAGAGAAAAACATTTCATTGAAACTAAAATAAATTTTTTTTTATAACGATTAACAATAAATTGTAACATAAAAAAAAACAAAAAATGGAAAAATGATTTAAATTATTATTGCAGTAATATAATTATTAATATAAATGTAAATAATTATATAATTTACATACAAAAATAATATAATAATTATGATTAGATCGATTTAATTATGATTTTCAAAAAAAAATTTGTTTTGCACATTTTACATTTTTTATAATAATTTTTATTTTTTTAATTTTATTAAATTTTTATTTAATTTATTTTGTAAAAACATTTAAAGCGATTTGTTTTGTTTTTTTTTTGTTTATTAATTTATTAATATTTATACGTATATCTTATTAATTTATAATTATATTAAATATGAATAATCATGGATAAAAATATCATTATGGGATACTTTAATTTTCCGACTTAGAATCATATATGAATTCGGTGAGAAAAATGAATAATTATCAAACACAAACGTATATTGATGACGTTATTAAAGTAGTGATGTAGCAAGGTACTGCTACTTGACTTATAAAATAAAAGTTTGTTTTAAGACTCACAAATTTTTTTTTTTGAAAAGAAACCATCTTAAATCTAGTGAAATATAGATTGGATACTGTTAAGGGCAAAACTGCCTAAAATCCTCTTTGTGAAGCTTCTCGTTTCAAAATTTAGCGGTGGTTTAACTTATTTGTTATACCATCATAATCTTCGGCTAAAATTTAATTGAACAACTAATAATTATCAATAATTACCGACAGTTATCGAATTGGTAAAGATAAAATAGATTAAAACTAATAGTTTTGTATAGATTTGAAAAAATATTGCAGAAAATAATAATTGGAAACAATTTCATAATTTCCGAATTTTACAATATCACCATAAATGGCACTATAATAAGTAAGAAATTCAGTAGATTTGAACGTGACAACTGACTCAGAATAGATGAAAAGCTGTAAAAGCAATTATATGATTACTTTTGAAGAAAAATTTTAAATTAGAAGTAAAGCATTACAAACTTTGCTGAAAACTTTAAAAAAGGAAAGAATCATGCAAGACTCTTCATTTGTAACTAAATTGTTTTTTTTTTTTTCGATTTACAAATTCTTTAAGAGAATTTTATGAAAATGTTAGAACTTTTCCTTAATGAAATATTTTATCCAAAGGTTTTAATAACTAAGTTATTGAGTTTCGAAGCAAAAATTACTCGACGAATGTATTTTTATAAAGGAATAGAGTTAAAAGTATTTACTATATACCATTGAATGATTACTATCGCGATTTGATGAATGATGAGATTAAGTTAAAAAAAAAAAACGAATATATTAATTATAATAAATCTATTACTTAAATATATTTATGCATATGTAATTGAAGATTGGTAAATAAAGCTTAAAAAGTTTCCAAATTTTTTTGATATTCATTGAATAATTGATTTTTTTTGATTTTGAAATTTAATCACACAAAAATGGTATTTGATCAAAATTTGAATTTGTTTTTTTATTACGATATGGAATGAACCATCCGAAATGATTATTAGTTTAATTAGAAACTAACAGAGTAGTGTTGTTTCATGAGGGTATTTAAATCATTATTTTTTTGTGATAATTTAGAATGAATCGTTCGCTATTTTTCAGAATGGTTTGCTGCTCTTGAATATTTTAAATATTTTTCCAATGCTTTGATGAAACCTGATAATTAACCAAAATTAAAATATTTATGCTTATACTCTATGCGCTTTTGGGAAGAGTATTCGAAAAAAAGATTCAAATTTTGAGTTTGTGTGATTTGAAATTAAAGTTTTTTAAGCCTTAAAACCAGTCATATACCTACATACACACACATAATACACAATTTTTTTCTTTTTTAGAAAAAATTAATAAAATATTAAGTAATTATTTTTTAAAAAATTTTTTTTTGTAATATTTAAAAAAAAAATGTATATGTATATGTATAATATTTTAATTTATATCACCAAATATTTTATACCACAATAGAAATTACGAATTTTCATTTTAATGGTTAATTTCAAAAAAATTTTTTCAAGATAAAATACACATTTTTTTCAAATCATTTTCACTATCATCTAATTCGATAGCATTTACATTACCATTTGGAATGATACGTCCTTCACAATTTGGTAAATATGGTTCGTATTCTAAATGCTTACGTTCATAAAATAATAGATAAGATGAGCTTGGATCTATATCTGGTCTTTTTGGTATTTCTCTACATGAGCTATCATTAAAACAATACCAATTACCATTTGGATTTGCAGCATATGATACATAATGCCCACCATTTAACATGCCGGAATGTGACTATACAAAATTAAATAAAAAAAAAAATTGGATTTTAAATGTATGAATAATAATTTATATAAATATAATAATGTACTTACAACAACTGCATATAATTTATATTTTAAATCAAGTGCATCTGCACCCTCCTTTAATTTATGATGATGATAATCTTTAAATTGGCCATCAATTACAGGTGTTTTAACTAAACTAGTTGATATTAAGCGTTTACGATTTATTGTATTATTTTTATTGTTATTATTATTATTATTATTATTGTTATTGCTTTTATTATTATCATTATTATTTTTATTATTATTTTTTCTAAAACTTTCTTCTGAATTATTTTCACTTTTTTTATTTTCAACTGTTATTGATTTATTTTTTATTAATTGTTTTTCTATATATGAATTAATTTTTTGTTGAATTTCATCTTTGGCTGTTTTTTGTATAATATTATCATCAATATTTTGTGTAATTTTATTTATTGTAGCATCTTTTTCATTTGTAATTACATTTTCATCATTTTTATTACTTAATATTATAGATTTTTTTATTTGACTATTAACACTATCAATATTATTGAATTCATTTAAATCATTTTCTAAATTTTTTTCAATACGAATATCAATACTATCATCATCATTTTCGTTATCATCTTCATTGCACGTAGAGTTTCTTAAATCATTATAATTAAAGATTTTTAAGTCATTATGACGCAAAATGGTCTCTTGTGGCACAGATGCCAAATATGGCGTTGGATCGAAATTATCAAAGGGAAAGCTAACATTAGCGTGTGATTTCACCCATTTATTGTTTACAAAATTAAAACGTTTTAAATGAATTATCTAAATTAAAAGTATAAAATTAATATAAAAAAATATTAATTTAAATTTAAACTTATACCAAAATAGGAGGTAATCTCCATATTTGTAATTTTTTAGTTGCAGGAGTTTTAGCTTTGCAATGACTACAATGGTACCACTGTTCTAATTTTTCCTCTGAAGTAAATGCTCTTAAACAATGATCTAGATCAACAGGTTGCGATTGCTCTCGTTTGCATATATCAATGGATTCATGATCAACCCATATCTAAATTTTATTTATAAATGTTTATTTTTAACTGGTTGTATAATTTACAATTTATTTGTTATACTATATGCATTATTTATACCTTTTCTCTTGTGCTTTGATATCGTAAATGTAATGCTGTAGGATCCCAATCAATTGCAATATAAATATTATTGGCACTTAAATTTATACTATTGCTCTCGACCGGGGATAAACGATTGGGATCGAAACTAGGAATTGAAGTTACTTTGTGGGATAACTTTGGCGTAGAAGAGTTACCTAAAAGTTTTTTATTGCTTAAATTTTATTTTATATTTGTTTTATTAATATAAAATTAATAAAAAATGAAAAATTAAACTAACTTGAACATGCACTTGATGCTTGCAGTTGTCCTTGTAATATAAAATCATCATTGCAAGGAATTTCACAACCATGACAAAAATTTGACCAAGGACAAAGAGCACACGTTTTTCCGTCATAAGTACACACACTTAACGTAAATGGAAAATCGTATCCCAAGCTATCATCACTGAAAAAGAAATAATAAATGAAAAGTTTAATTTTTTTAAAATTATATTCACCAGTCAGCAGCATGATTAGATTGATCTGGGGTAGGTGGTAACGGAGTTAGTAAGCGATTTACTTGCACCCATACAGCACAATATAAATCTTTATTTGTTGCATTTTCATAGCATGGTATTAAAAGTGGCACACCAAATAAATTTGGACGTGTTTTATGATATGATAAGAAATATGCATCTTGCCTATTCAATTTTCTATGTACTGCAACTAAATATTTTCCAATTTTAGCATGTGAATAATGTAAATTTCGTTCCAACACTATATTTCTATATTGCACATCAGTTTCGTTTTCATCAAAGCTATTTGTTTCATTTTTTATATAGTTCATTCTTAGATTTTTATTTGATTTTTCTGAATTAATTGAATGGTTACTATCATCACTATCACTATTATTTGAAATACGTTTACAATTTGAACGTGTTATTATTATATTTTCATTACGTAAAGGATTTTGTTCTACGAAAGTATTTTGACGAACACCATTTTCCTGTTCTAAATCTACGTTATTTAAATGAGATAAACGACTTAATGTTGGCCCTTTTTCGATACTACTGGTTGTACCTTCATCTGAACTGTAACTAAACATTTGAGTATTATCAGAAAGTAAATTTGTGGTTGAAATCCTTTTACGCCGTAAATTATGAACAAATGAGCTCTCAGGGCTAGTACTTATATCAATTGATTGCTGTAATTAATATTAAAAAACATAAATTCTTATTAACATAACAAATTATCTGATTTAATTTTTGCTTTTTCATTTAAATAATACCAGGAAAAATTAATAAAAAAAAACGAATTCTTGGATAATATAAAACATTAAGGGTAAAAACAAAGAAAAAACACAAAAAATTAAAACGACTTAACAATTTTAAAAACAAACGTAACAAATATTACTAAAAACAGTATTAATTTAAAAAAATAAATTATTGAATTAATTATGGTAGTTCAATGGCCGAACATTGTAATATTATGTTCTCTAAAATATTTTCGTAACAATTTTCAATTGTTAAAGGAAATGCAACTTAAATATTTAAATATACATTTAGTTATATAATATTTATTTATTTCAAACGTTTTAAATTTAAAATATGTTATTAAAATTACGAATTAAACACAACAAGCATTTAACAGAAATTAATGTGGTCAAAATTTTTAATTTCAATAATCAACCTACTGAATTATTACTTAAAATGAATAAGAAATATAAACACATATTTAAAAGACACTTATTTGAAAACAAGTTACTTTGCTTCTATAATTATTATTCCATAATCTGGTTAGTTTCATGTTTGTTTAATGTAAAATCAGTAAATATGTCATAATGAAATATTTAATTAACAAAAAATTATGTACTTCGTTATTTTTTGTGAAAATACTTTTGCATCTTTAATATTATCCAAGAATTTATTTAAAAAAACCTTTTTCAAGATTTCATAAATATTAGCATTATACAGTTTATAAGAAAAGCGGTATCCAGTTACTTCAAATTGAAAATCAATTCAAATTCTAAAATAAAAAAAAATAAAACTGACTTGTTTTTACTACTCTGTGCATTATTTATAAAAATTGAAATTAATTTAATAGAATATATTTATTATGTATTTAAATTACCAATCTATTTTATTTGTATTAGAATAAATTTAGCTACAATACAAAATTATTTATTTTTACAAATTCGCATTTATAAAATTACCAAAACCAACAATATATATATATATATATATATTTACATATATATACTTTAATACAAATAATTGCTCCAATTGACCATTACGTTAGATAAATAAAATGTCGACCAACGGAAAATTTTTAATTATTTAAAAATTAAAAAAATTATTTGCAACAAAAATTTTTAATAGGAATTGCTGCTTCAAAGTGATTTTATATAAATAACTAAAAAAAGCCATATTACATAATATTTTAATTAAAAGGTAAATAAAATTAGCATAAAAAGATGATGTGAATTAAAAAGTGAATAATATTAAAATTGTATTTAGCACTTTCGTATAAACGAAGAATATTTTAATATGTACTTTTTAAAAAGCGGTTTCTTCGTTATTGTAACATTTGCTTTTGAACTTTTAAAAATTTCACCTTATAAAGAATAACTTTCTTTAACATTAATTTCTATACTTAAATTTCGAAACTCATCAATCAATGTATTATTCAAGAAAGTTTATTACTTTATAAAATAAAATTTTGTATGAAAGAACAAAAGAATTTAGTAGAATACTAGATTACTAGTATTACATATACATACACTGCTTCTCTCATAAATTTTGTTTTTATTTTAAATTAAATTGAAATGAATGAATGAGTTACAGAAAATTAAATAAATATGTAAATGAAATTGTTTAAAAACAAAAATTAAATTGCACTGTGAATATATTTTGTTTATTTGGGAATCTATCTCGATTGTGACTTATTTCAATAACTCTTTCGCCATTAAATTAAAACTTTTTAAAAAAAAAAAGAGAAAATTTTCATTTCATTTTACTTTAAAATACTTTTCTTCTATATCACTTTCTAACTAAATACAATGGCTAACTACAAAACCATACCTTGAAGCACAACAGGGTCTGGGGCATGCACATAGTGGTGTTTCCAAAGCACCGTCTTACCTTCGAAGATTTTTTTATTTCAGTTTGCTCAATAAATGTAGCTGGAAATGAATTATCAATAGCAGTAGTTTCGTCAGTGGTGTTCGATGAATATGAATTTTGTGGTATTGATTGATTGTTAAAATGTGCAATTGTTGTTGAGGATTGTGTTTGTAATTGATTATTTTGCTGGTGAGAAGTTTGCTGATTATCTGATGCTATAAGTAGAGCTAAAAAATCTTTTTTTTTAATAATTCAATATTATTTGAAAATTGAAAAAAAAAAATAACAAATTTAGTTTTACCTGGACTTCTTTGGATGTCTTTTAATCCTTTTTCGATATTAACACCTAAAATTGAACTTGTCCTTGACCGATTATCGTCGTTATCTTCAGGTAGTTGATATATATGAAGTTCTGTAGGTGTAGTTGATTTAAATTTTTGCTCATCATGAAATATAATTTTAATTTGTGAATTGGCAACTTGACATAATAACATTAAATTCGGATTAAGATGACATAAATTCGAAACTTCTTTTTTAATATCATAATAGGTAGAATCAGAATTAAGACGTATTCCGTATTTTGTAGGAACACCACCATCAAGAAATATTACTAAAATTAAAATTTTTATTCGATTTCATTTAAAAAATGTTTTCAAGTAAATCACCTAATATTTCAAAATATATGTAATTTTCAACCGGTAATGGTAAACTTAACAGACTAAATGGATCAAAACGAACAGATTCTTTTCCACATCTTAAACAACTAACTTTCGATTTCAACTGACCATAAAACAAATCTATAACAATACTTTGGTTTCTGGAATGATGGAGTGTCCAGGCTTCATGAGCAACTTCTTCGTCAGGACGACCATTTGAATCTTTTAATTCCGTATATGGCTTTTCGGTTACTCTATTTAAATCCTCATGCAGCCCATCAAGCATCCATTCTAATAATTCTTGAGAATCATGTTGACCACCCCCCGCAAACTGTGGTGCGAATTTAGTTACACAAAATCTTAATTTCAAGGGTGCAACAGAACGTGTTGTTGACGTCCAAATCTCTTTTAATAATTCTGCATAACGAGTTGCCAATTGACCTTTTGTTCCAAGTTTATTCGCTGTATTTAATTCATAAACATGCATATTTTTTTTAAAATACATGCTTAGTGGGGCTGTATTGAATAAAACCTGGAGAGCTGCGTTCATAAAACATGTATTACCCAAATTATGTAATCCTGTTGCACCTGGCACATGCATTGAATGAATTGAAGCCCGTGTCATTCTTCGATCTTGGACATGACTTCCAATACTTGCGCTTTGAGCCAAAGAACCTAATTCTTCTGGCCACGTAAGATCTTTATTTCGAATTTCTAAAAGTAGTTGACCCTTATCTGTTATATAAAGATCCTCTAAAGTCATTGTTTCTTCATCCAATAAAACAGGAATATCATCGCAGGCATTTTGTGAATTGGATATATGCCATAACCTTATATCTTCATATTTAAGTTTAAGGTTATCGCAAAGAAATTCACCAATTAATTTAACGGTAGCTAAACGACTGAAGGCAGCTGTGTAAGCTAAATATCTTTTAGGTGGTTGCAAATTCGATGCAGAATTCATCGACACAAATGCACCTCCTGAAGCAATAGCACCGTATCCACCTAAAATAAAAATGTAAAAAATGGTAATTATAATAAAAAAAATGTTTTTACCTGACATTGCATTCCATGTCGGAATTGTTTGAGATGTCATAGGAACAATTTGATGAAGCAAAATTCTTAAATTTAAGGGATACAATTCGAGCTCTACATCAGGAGAATTGGGCGGTTGAATTACTTGTCTAGGCAGTGGAACGATAGCCGTGTACCATCGAGCTAGAGCATCCCATAAAGATTTCGGAACTAATTCAAAATCATGTCCTTGAATCAACGGTGTATCCTTTTTCAAATGGCCTCCTTCACCAGTTAAAGTATGTATACTTTTGAATGGATTCGGAATAATTAAATTTGTGTTATCGATAGGTCCTGGCTGTTTAGTGTACTTGCCATATGATATACCACTACTTCCAGATCCTTACCAGTAAAATAAAAAAGTTTTAGTCTGTATGTTTACATTTTATTTAAATTTGTTTTACCTAAGCTTGAATTATCAGTATTAGTCAACAAATCTCCTACAGATTCTGATACATTAGAAGAAAAACTTTCGTCGCATACTAATGCCTCATCAACGCTTGTTCCAACACAACCTGACGAAATGCTTATATTTTTTGGTTGCAAATTGCTTGATGCTTTGCAGTATATACAAGGCACTATTGTAAATGTTTGTGTATATTGCACCCAAGAATTCCACCAGTCTTTAGATATTAAATACCAAAATTGACCTACTCTATGGCCACGCCGATCTTCACGATTAAGCCATCCTCTAACTAAAAAAAAATTTTTTTTACTGTCTGCTATAAGATATTTAAAAAAGTTATTATTACCGATTTCATATTCCATATGCCTGCATTGTGGTGGAATGCCAAAAATTATATGACAAATTTCAAAAGTTAAATCCAAAAAAGGTCGAACTAAATTCAGTGAGCTTTCAACATTCCACATCATAAAATCTTCTTGAGTAAGAGTTAATGAGGAACTCAAATCTTCTGCATGCTCGGATACTTGATTTGAATCTTTTTTTCTAACAAAACGTATTAGATCGTTCAATACATTGTTTTTAGTTATTCTTTCATAGTCATTTGCTGAAGAGCTTTCACGGGCAACAAACATCAAAATATCTATCATCTGATTAACTTCATTGAAATTTAGGAGAGAGTCGCGATCCAAATCAAATATTTTAAAACAAACTAAAACATGAAAATACATAGTTTATACTTAGATTATTTCTTCGTATAGTACATAGTTTATTTCTTAGGTTATTTCCTTCTCAAAATAACTATTTAATAAACTTACATTTGCTTCTTTCAACATTTGGACCTCGACAAGCGGCGCTTACTCCACAACAAAGTTCTTTAAAATCAATATGACCATCACAATTTTCATCAAACGCATTAAAAAACCCTCTTAAAGCCGTCTTTGGAATTGGTGGGCTTAATAATGGACCTAGTAAATCCAAATCTAGTTGGTTATTTAACGATGAGCTTTTTAAACGCCAAAACTCTTTCTCTAAATGGCCAATATCCTAAAAGAAAAAAGGGAGAAAAGCAATAATATTGTCACATATGTAATTTTAAATATAAATCGCTTTTACTTGTTCTTCCAAATGTGTGACACCAGCTAAACTCTGATAAAATGTAGGAGTTTCTAATTCCGAAGTCAAACAAAGACATTGTTGAGATAACAACCATTTTGATAATACAGTCGAATTTTTATGGGATACAATCCATTCTTTGAATTGATCAAAAGTAACTCGTTCCGATTGTGAAAACAATGATAATACATCTTTTGTATTTGTTAATTTCTGTAAATCTTTTGAATGCGCATTCAATTCTAAATTCAAATACTTTGTATAATCTGATTTCAAAATATAACTTCCAGCTTCATTACTATACAAATTCCACAAAAATCTAAAATTGAAAATGATATTGAAAAATCCATTAAAATTAAATAATATAATTGAATTTTGTTGTGAAAAGTTTTTAAGTTTTATTTGAAACAAAAACCTTAAATATTAATTAGGTACGTATATACCTAGTAATACTTAATGTTTTATATCAATATACCTAATTTTTTCTTCATCTTTTCCTCGAGTTAATAAAACTAGGGCACAAAATAAGTCTTTAAATAAAATTCCTTTTGACGTTCCACCACATCCTATATAAATCCATTCAGCTACAAGAGGAGGAACTTTCTCGCATAAAACATCTTGTTTAAAGGCACTTTGGCTTAAATATTGAATACCGGGTCCTGTTGATTTAATAAACGCCTCTTTAATTCTTTTCGCTTCTGCATCAGATACTATAAAGAAAATTATTAAAAAAAAAATTTTATAAATTATTATGGGTATTATAATTTTGGAAAACTTAAGCACATTAATTTGATAAGAGATTAATATAATCTGAAATTGTTTTTATTTTTTCGTATTTATATCTCTTTTTGACTTAATTGATTTTAGCCTTGAATTTCTGAAAGAAAAACAAACAAAAACTAAAGAAAAATACAAAAAATTCATAGAAGTCAGGTGCATTGATTATTCATTTGATACACTTTAAAGTGAAATTCTTTCACATTCCCTTGCGAAATTATTTATGATTTTGTATTATGTAATTTAAATATTGAAATTACTTTTAATTAAAAATGTTTCGATTGTCGAAATACTTTTCATGAAAAAATTACAGTCATATATGTAGATATATAATTAAAGTCTACTAATGTGTATTTAGAAAAATTTTCTAATATGTGACGCAAAAAAAAAATTTTCAATATAATTACATACATACACTTGTGTGCAAACAATAGTCTCTGATACCAAATATTATAATGATGAAAAATATTTTGATAAAAATTTTATATTTTGAAAATATTTGTATTTTAAGCACAAATTGGTTTTGAAAATTATTTGAAAATATTGAAAATTTAATGCATATTTGAATTTTTGGTATTTCAAATAAAATTTTATATTAATTTTTTTATTGAATCTTACCCCTCTTTAAAGCTTCTTCGTAATTAATAATACAAGGGGGCTTTGATTCCTTTGCACCCATTTTACAAGCAATAAAATATAAACCAAAAATTCATTATCATTTTTGTAAAAACATCTCACTGCAAATTATTATTTTAATATTTACAAAAAAAAATTTTTTCCTAATAACTTTTTCTTTATTTTTAAAAACAAGTCTTCACTTTACGTCTACTTTCAATATTAAAATAAAACAGTGTTACCCATCTGTCATAATTCTTTTAGCGTTTTTTATTATTAAAAATAAATACATACATAAATATTGAAATTCTAACTTATACAATTGAAAAATTTAGTTTTAACCATTAAACTGCTAAAACATTCAAAATATTTTTTCTTCAAAGAATTATCATAATTGTGGAATTATTGCATTCTCGAAAAAATTCTTTATTTTAATCAATACAATGTTTCTTTGTTTCAAGGATAAGGTGCGCCAATTCTATTTTAAATACATATTATTTGTTTTGTAATATTATTAATTTTATATAACAGAAAAATTTCGCTATATCTAGACATATAGGACAGCTATGTTGAATGCATTATATTGCAATATATGCAGGGTAATTTATTAACTATTTATGTCTCATTAAATCTTGGATAATGCAGAATTTAAATAACAAAAAATAAAAACATCAAAGATTAATTATAAATTTAAGTTTTAATACTTTGTATGCTTTATAATTTAATATCTTTTTTTTTTCTTTATTTTAAATTTAATATTTTTATATAATGTTGTTTTCTGCAAGATCAAATGTTAAAGATGATTTGTTCATTAAAGAAAAATAATATAGGTAATTTATTCTAAGATAGCAGATAGCCATTGATAATTAAGATTCAAAATGTTCAATTATGTTCTCAAACCATAAAATAACAATTTTGCTAATAACAAATTGTATTTAATATTAATACACAAGTATAAGAGTAATACTTTTATTTTTTTATAATAATTACCTTTAATAGTGTATAATAACTACTTGGCAATCCTGGAAATTGATTTTTAATATATTCTTATTCAATTCACCCCTAATCCTCTTATAATAATTTTAAATAATCAAAATTTTCATCCATGTTCCAACTTTGACAACTAAAACTTGTGTCATCAATATACAAAAGGAAAAGTAAAAAATTTTTTTATAAATTTCCAATTTTAAAAATTGTGTTTTAATTATTAAATAATTTAAAAAATATTCAAAAAATCATGGCTAAAACTTATGATTATTTATTTAAATTATTATTAATTGGAGATTCTGGTGTTGGGAAAACTTGCATTCTATTTCGGTTCTCCGAAGACAGTTTCTCATCTAGCTTTATCTCGACAATAGGTAAGTACCTACTTTAATAAATTTTTGTATTCCTATTGGTTTATTCACACTATATACCTTTTCGAAAGTTAGTTTCAAACATAATCATATAACATAGGACTTTTAACATGTGTAAGGCGCACTTTTTTGCTACAACTAATCATAAAAAAGAAAAAAGAAACGGTGTTGTATTATCTTTAGATAAATGAATGATTCATAATTATTCTTACGTCTTAATTGGAAAGAAGAAAGAAATTATTCGATTAACTTATAGTGTTATATTAAAGACAAGATTTACATTGATAACATATCAATATGATGTTATGATTTATGATTTTATCAAAATCATAATATAATTCGAGATTTTTATTTTGAATTTATGTTATTGTACTCAAAATGTGCTATGCATTGGAATATTTCAAGCAAATGTACTTATACTAAAATTTATTATTTTAAAAAATGAGACTCCATAGAAATTTATAAATTTAGAGTTTTTAGAAAAGGAGACTCTTAACGTTATAATTTCATAACTGAAATCCTTGTATATACCTACTTGCATATGGGAATTGCATTTATTTTATAATATCGATGATATTTTTCTTTTATAATTTCTTTTTATAAAATAAGTTCCTATTAATAAACAAATTCATATATAGGTGCATATTTGTATATGTACACATCTATGTATGCATGGACTTTCTACGTTAAAATAATGCAAAGTTATTTTTTTTTCTATATTGTGAAAGAAAATCAAGTAAAAGTAAGTAGTGGTTTAGATATGGGTATCTGCTAAATATAGAGAAAAATAAAAGTTCGTCAAAATAATTTGTGTTTTGTTTTGGTAGTATGCTCATGTTGGCAGCTAATATTTTCGGATTTATTTTTGTATCAACTACGTTATCATACAAAATAATATTTGTTTTGTAAACATTGCATTTAAATTTCGCAATTCCAAATATACTAAATAAATTTTGTGTTATAAAATACATAATATATAAATAAGCGCCGACCTGTAGGTACGTACTATAGTAAAATTGGAATTTTAATGGTGGGTGCCTAGCAAAAATTACTACGATTATAATAAAAACTAAATAAATATGTATTGGTCGTGTGTACTGCTGGAGTTGCACCAATTTTTAGAATTTACATCCTTATATTATTGTTAAGTAGGTATTTAAAGTTATTTTGCCTGTTATAGAATAGAAATGATGACGGTTTTTTCATATAAACATTTTTACAATTTATAATAAAAAACTCAATAAAAAAAATCATTCAATATCTTTGATATGGATTTTAAAAAATACAATATTATAGTGGGAAACACCTACCTACATAATATGAAAAATCATTTATTTCTCCATCAAGTCGTTTTTGTTTTCTCCCTATAATTTTGGTTGTAGTAGAAATTTCGGTTATAGTTTACCTAACCTGTAAAATATTATTTATTTACATGTCAAAATACATTTTCTTATTTATTTTATATTTATATTGTTTTTTAATTTGTTTCTATACTTACTAAGTATAATTAATATTTATTTTTAACAAAGAAAATTTTTTTTTGAAAAAAAGAAAAGTTTTTCTTTTTCAAAAATAATTATTCGTATTATCTATTTAAAAAATTTAATAATTTGCTGTTCATTCCTTTTTTCGTTAAATCTATAATTCTGTCATTTCTAAAAAAGTACTATATAATTACTCAATATTTAAAACGTTTTAACTAAAGATTGAAAAATAAAAAATTGAAATAAAAATGCTTTTGTTTATATTTTTGCATAAAAATATTGAAAAAATTTAATTTGTCATTATTTGAAAACCAATTAAAAGAAAAGAAACCTTCAAAAAAAAGTACTTCAAAACTTAAAATACGTTTCTTTGAAATAAAAGAAAATGGATATACGTCATTATTTTTCCCGGTAACAACTCAGAATTGACTTGACATATTGAAAAATCAAACAATATCGCCATTTCTTTTCTACCATTAGTGCAGCTAACTTCACTCGGTACTTTTTTCACTTGCTCTCCTCAGCCTGAAAAAAGCCAAGCCAGTGTCGTAAAAATTAAAAATATTTAATATAAAATATTTCAATAATATTCTGAATGAATCGGATATAAATTTAAATTAAATATAAAAAAAAATTTAATATTTGTTGGAATGGCAAGTGTAGTTTAAATAGAATTCGTAATATAGAAAGTAAAAATATTGAAAGACTTTGAAGTGCGCTGGGTATTTGTATTTTGTTGAAATGGTGTTGTTTCTTTCGACTTACATAAATTTTCGATAATAATAAAAAAAAAATCAACATAAATTTTTGGAATATTCTTTTGAGAATATTAGCTTAGAATAATAAAAGAAAAATATACAATATTACAATAATATAAAATAAAAAGCTTTCCGGAAGAAGTGCAAATAATTGTGAAAAATGACGGAATAAAAGAAAAAAAAAATGAAATGAAATTTATTAAAGTGACATTTTGGTATTGGACATTTTGTTCTCTTTGTTGAAAGAAAAAAAAGTGTACCTACTAGATCTTACTCTACCTTCTTTACATATGACTGAAATTTGATTTTAGAACAAAAATTTAATAAAGATGGAATAAGTCGTGGCAAATATTTAGCGAAAAACTAAAAAAATATCAAAGGTCTGCATTTGTCGAATGGCTGCAGTGGATGGCCCAACTAGGCAATCGAGAGTTTCTATGAGCATCTCTATGTCGTTAGTTCAAGGTGGTGCTGCAAGTGGTGCACCTCAAGGTGCAATATTAGCAGCTGCTTCTCCATATTATCAACAGCCAGCCATACCACAAGATGTACAACCAGATCGGCCAATAGGTTATGGAGCATTTGGTGTTGTTTGGGCTGTAACCGATCCTAGGGATGGGCGTCGTGTTGCATTAAAAAAGTTGCCAAATGTTTTTCAATCATTGGTATCATCAAAACGAGTTTTTCGTGAATTAAAAATGTTATGCTTTTTTAAACATGAAAATGTTTTATCGGCCTTGGATATATTACAACCACCACATTTAGATTTCTTCCAGGAAATATATGTGATAACAGAATTATTGCAATCCGATCTCCACAAAATAATTGTATCACCACAACATTTATCTGCAGATCACATAAAAGTATTTCTTTATCAAATTTTACGCGGTCTAAAATATTTACATTCTGCTCGAATTTTACATCGTGATATTAAGCCAGGTAATCTATTGGTTAATAGCAATTGTGTTCTTAAGATATGTGATTTTGGATTAGCAAGAGTTGAAGAACCAGATCATTTAAAGCATATGACACAAGAAGTTGTTACACAATATTATAGGGCACCAGAAATTTTAATGGGTGCAAAACACTATTCTGCAGCTGTTGATGTATGGTCAGTTGGTTGTATTTTTGGTGAGTTATTAGGCCGTCGAATTTTATTTCAAGCTCAAAGTCCAGTACAACAATTGGAGTTAATAACAGAATTGTTAGGTACACCATCAATGGAAGATATGCGACATGCTTGTGAGGGAGCTAGATCTCATATGTTACGTAGAGCTCCAAAGCCACCATCATTTTCTGCATTATATGCATTAAGTTCACATGCTACACATGAAGCTGTACATTTACTTTGCCAAATGTTAGTTTTTGATCCAGATAAAAGGATATCAGTTATTGATGCATTAGCACATCCATATTTAGATGAAGGACGTTTAAGATATCATTCATGTATGTGTAAATGTTGTTTTACAACATCATCTGGTATGAGACAATATACTGGTGAATTTGAACCATCAGCTGGTCAATTCTTTGATGATTTATGGGAAAAGAAATTAACATCATTACAGCAAGTTAAAGAAGAAATGCATAAATTTATAGCTGAACAATTACAAACTGGACGTGTACCACTTTGTATAAATCCTCAGAGTGCTGCATTTAAGAGTTTTGCAAGCTCAACTGTTGCCCATCCATCTGAACTGCCACCCTCACCTCATCAATGGGAATGACGACAAAACGAGGCTACAGCTGCCTAAACAAAAAACAAAGCAAAAATAAACAAAAAGAAAAAAAACCATATAAAAAGATCTGGATAATATTTTTAATTTTTATTAACATTTTAGATATAATTTTACTAACAATTTTTAGAACTTAAAGATATCAATCAAATACATAAATGTATGTAAATATATATTGATATGTTAATATACATTCACATTATATGTATATGACTTATAAAGACGTTCATATATATATATATATATATATTAATGTATATATATGAAACAATTATATTTTCATATGTATATCTATAATATATATGATTATATCTATATATTTCAAATTAATTTCAAAAAAAAAAAATACATCATTGTGTCTTTAAAATTTAAGAACAAAAATGCAAAATATTAAAAAAAAAATTATAATATAAAATTAATCTGATTAAGTTAATTTGAACAAAAACAAAAAAAAAATTAATACAAAATTTAAGGTACTCTCTTTATTGAAAACTACTATAATTATTACAAAATTAAATACATTTAAAAACAAAAAAAAAAAAAAAATTAAAAATATTTCAATAAAATAAAATTAAAATTTAATTTGACAAAAAATTAAAATTAATTAGTTAATATGCTAGTCTGATAGGAAGGACTTTACCAGCATCAATTTTAATATTAATTGTAAAACTTAGAAATAGCTTTTTTTCTTGTAATAAGAAAGACTTGTAATATATTAAAAAATTAAATAATAATTGATAATAAAATACCTACAAAATTATATATATATATAAATAAATATAATTCAGATTTAAACTTGATTTTGTAACGACCTGATTTGTGAGTTTAAATAATAAGGAAATCCAAAAAATTATAAAAAAAAAAAATGAAAAAAATTTAAAAAAAAAAAAAAAAAAACAAAAAATATTAAGAATGTACGGAAAAAAATAATAATAATGGTCAAAAAAAAGAAAAAAAAATACTCAGAATATGAAAAATGTTTCTTAATTCCTCTTTTTAATTTTTTTTAGAGAAGCAGATTCAATATTCAAGATTTTTTTTTTTTTTATTCGGCATTAAAATAAAAAAAAACCTATTTACAAAAACAAATATTATTATTTTCTTTATTTATTCAGAACCAAAAAAAAAAAAAAAACATTTTATAGAACAATGTCTTCCATAACCCTGCAATTTAATTAATTTTTAGCATTTAGCAAACATTTAAATTATAAAAAAAATATAAGTAGGTATACATAGGTACAGTTTTATAGCAGGTGACGCGATAGATCTGCGATATTCACGGACACGGAATATATACATAGTTTTTAAATAGATTTTCTACTATATTTTTGTATCTTGTAATAAATTCTAAATTAAAAATAGATTAGTTTGCTTTTTGAAACAATTAGGTACTTACTTTTTTTTCGAAGTAAATAAGATCGTGCACATAAAATATTTATCATAAAAGATTATTACAAACAAAATTTTATTGGATAAAAAATTGACCTGATTACCTAAAAGCAAGAAATATAAATTACCGAAATTAGTGGTCTGTGAGTATAGCTTTGACTGTTCGCCGTTTATCTAAAAATTTTACGAGAATTAAAAGAGTATTTTAGCCTTTCTTTTACTAAATAATCCTGTTATTAGCGCTTTTCTTCCGTAAATCATAAACAATAACGCAATATAAATGAATCTAATTAAATACTTTTGTAAATAATATTTTAATGTTTTATTTTTTTTTTTTCTAAGTAGACCAAACAAAAACAGGCACCTACTTTCAATGAAATTAGAAACAATTAAATAACTATAATATTTTTTTTATAATTGATTTTATTTTATATACTTTAAAAAATGTAGTAAATGAATTTTTGTACATGACCTATGTTATAATAAAAAAGAAAAGAAATTTAATTGAAAATATTCTCAATATTTATTTTTAAGTATGTATGTACATAAAGTATATACAAAAATATTTTCAATAACGCGAGAATATCTTTAGAAGAAATTTTTTCAAAAATTCACTTAAAATTATACATATGTATACATATATATATATATGAAAAGTTTGAATATTTTGAAAGTAATTTTTTTTATACACACTTTTCTTGAAAAACATTTCCAATTAAAAAAAAAAAACATAAGAAACACAAGAAAAAAGGAAAATTATGTATGAGTATGAATAACAACAATTCATTAAAAAATGAAAAAAAAAAATGTATATTTTATTTTAAACAATGAGTACAATGAACTTTTAAGAGTAAAGAGTGGGCAGCAGGGGGAGATGACATGCCGATGGGTCAGCCTATCTAGTACACTTTATTTACTACGTTGTTCTTTTCTTTTGTACGTTTTTATTATTAACTTAAATAAATTATATTTTTTTTATTATTTTTTTTTTTTTTGGAGGACACAGACCTGACTGGCTGACTGACTGAGTGACGGGGGTTTTTCTTTCTTATTTCTTATTTTCTCAATGAAATTTTTTATAATTTTTTTTTTTATTTTTCAAAATTTATTGTATTTTATTTGTATGAATTTTACAATTTCAATAGTATAATAATTATTTTACCTTGTATGATTTTGTTATAATTTTAAAAACGTTTCATACAAATATAGAATTTCAAAAATAAAAATATTATATCTTCCTTGTTTATTTTTAAATGTATGTATGTACATTTAGAAAAACAAAGGACATTAAGCGCATAATTTGTACACAAAAATAATTGCGAAGGTTTGTAACACGTTCGAAAATTGTACGCTGCACACACTATAAATATAGATCGTTTGGAAATTTTTTGCTGTTGTAAAGTACTTTCGCAAATTTATTCTGTAATAAAGGAATGTCAGAAATGTTGCGCAGACATCTAGAATAAATTTTTTCGTTCTATCGTGGAATTTGTATTTATTAAGCTTCAGAATTCGAAGGCAAATATAAAATACATAGCTGAAGTTTTTGAAATTAGAAATTTAAATTTTGCCAGCTTGCATAAATTAGAAACGCTTGCGCCTAATTTTTTTAAGATTTATGCTATTTTTTTTTGCATTTAATTTAATTTTTATTAATTTTCATATATTTTGTTATTAAATTAAAAAAATTTTTCTATGTATTTACACCCTTGAATATTAAAAATTTTATTAAAAATATTTTAAAAATAGTGAGTGAAAAAATAACAAAAGAACGGGAAGATATTTCTTTCTTTTAAAAATTCTCAAAGACAAACATTATTGAGAATGCCTAGACTGTGTATGTGTTTTTGTGTTTAAAATGATTAATGCATTTAATTTTTCAATTTCAATTAATTTTTCAGTTTCTTATTTTGATTTCCACGTTTGTTGTTTTATTTTTTTATTTATTTTATATACAAGTATAATTTTTTTTTTTCAATAAAAGCAGAAATGAATTCTAAATTTTAAACAAAGTAACGATTCCTTATTTTAAGATCTTTGTTTCGTCAAATTTTGATTGCATGATTGTTGTATTTGAATTTTAATGTTATTGTATAAGTGTTGAAGTTTTATGTAAGGAAATCAAAATTAAAAATTACTTAATTTTTGAAGCCTATAATGCTATCAGTTTTTCTGTTTTTTTTTGTCTTCTGGTAATTTGGTAGATTTTTTCCAAAAAATTTCCTTTAATATAATGAGATCTACCTAAAATTTATAATTCTTTTGACCTGATCTGATCATTTTTTTCTCGTACTCTTTTTGGTTTCACGAAACAAAACAAAAAATATAATAACAAAAAAAAAAAAAGTTAAAGGTAAATAAAATAAGGATTTTTTTCTCGGGACTTAAAACCGGTTTTTAGCTTAGCCATCTTTCATAATAAAAAATGTTATTCCAAACAACAGTATGTTAGTTAGTATATGGATGGATGTAGGTATACGAAAATGAAATGAGACAAAATTTTGTATAGGTGGTTTTGTTTATGGGTAGAATTGTTACAGGTCTTTTCTACTGTTTGAAGATTTTAAGAAAAAATTTATATTTAGATTTTATGAATGCACTTATACTCCATTATATACCTACATGTATATACATATATGTATGTCTTCGAACAATTTTTACAGCTGTTATGATGAAAATAAAAAGAAGAGAAAAATATCTATTTTTTTTTTAAAGTAAATTGGGTTAAAATTAACATTGGTACTTGCGATGGTTTTTGTTTTCAATATTTTTTTTTACCTTTGCAGCGCAACTACTTTTTTGTTTTTGTTTTGTATTTTAATTTAGAAAAAAGAAAGAGAATTAAAATTATTTTACCTAATAATGATATGGCTGTATCTTGTATACATCTACATCGTATCTTAGAAATTTAACAAAAAGTATATTGTAGTTATTCTATTTTATGATTTTTTTTTCTTTGTTATTATTTTTGTATCTGTTGTATATCATAGATGAATACTGGATATATAATAATTGTTCATTATATTATGTATGTATGTATGTATTTTTTATTATAATGAACAATATAAAATGTATATGGATGAATAGAGATGTAGGTATGTAGCCATTTATTATAATATTAAAGGTACGGGAAGATCTATGCAAGTATATAGTATAATGAGTAACATAAGTAATACAAAATGAATATTGTTTTTCAGATTTTCGATTATAAAAAAAAAATAAAATAAAAATGGTGTTAATGACTTAACATAATTTTCTTGGAAAAATTTAAATATATGCATATGTATGCAGTTATTTATTTTATTCGTCATAATAAATTTAAGATTAAAAATAATAAATTTTTGGAAAATATTTAAAAATATTGAAAGAGAAGGTAAAACAAATCTTTTAATTAAGGATTTTTAAATTTTCGAGAAAATCGTCATTTAGTTTGAAATAAATGCATGTTATGTACACATTTTTCCTTATATTTTATTTTTACCCATAAGATTTTTTATGAATCGCAATTCACTTGCATGAGCACTATTTTTAGACCCGTAGCAAATCTCAGTATTACGTCCGCTGGCAGTTGTCAAGCTCCCGAAGGAGTTACAAAATTTCACCCGAAATTTCTTATTTTTAAACGGACCATAGCCTCATATTCGCACAATATATGCTCTACGGTCTCACTCACTTCCAAGCCGAAACGTTACAGTTTACACTTCACCTTTTCCATTCTAATGACCGGTAAGAATCTGAATTATCAGCTTTATATACAATTTATAATTATCAAACATGCATAAAGCAATAAAGTCTCTAATTATATTAAATGATAATTTTTATATTAAACTGTTTTTCATTTAAAAAATTCTAATTTTCCCTGCGAATTTGTTTTATTTTTTTTTATATTGCAATTAATACATCTTATGAATTCTGTTATATTGAATATTTAAAAGCACAAAAAAAAAATAATAATCCAACAATTTACAGCTTTTATTATTTCCTTTGTATTAAGAATTAAATTTAGAAATTCTGAAATTTGATCTTTTAGGAAAAATATTTTTTTCTAAATATTTTGCATCTAATTGAATCAGATAATTTTTCATTGTGGTAAAATGCTTTTTCAAACGCATTTACATTATTATTTTTATTAGTAATTTAATTTTTTTTTTTTCAATATGCAGTAATTAAACAAAGAAAATAATTTAATTATTATAATTAAATTTTATTTAATGCATAATTGCATTGCATTTTTTTTTAAACAATCCGAAAACTTGGAACATAATGTACAATAATATGTCTATTGTTAAATTTCCGTATTTTTTAATTATTTCATTTATTAAGCATAGATTTGAGCATATTGAGCGTAATTAATTTCATATACATATGTATGTATGTATGTATATAAATATGTAGATTAAATTGCAAATACAGATTTTATCAAAATCAAAAATTCTAAACTGCAATTTTACAAACCAGGACTCTATTACACCAACCCCTTAAAGTTTTGATACTACTTTATCATTTTTAAAAAAGTGCCTTATTATTACGAGTATATTAGTACAATATATGTAGTTCATTAGTTTTTTGAATTTTTGTGCAGAACAGAAATTTTATTATTTTAAAATTTTACGAAATCGACTCTACATAATGAATATGGGAGAGTAATGCAATTCAATTTCAATTTTTCGAAAATTGAAATGAAATTTTTCATATTTACTCCATATTTTATAATAGACACATCACTTAAGTATATTGGGGCCCTCTATAAATATAAAATAGAAATTCTAATTCAAAACAATTCCATCATTTCTAGTGAAGCATCTAAGAGAATATGGATGATTTACAATATTCATTAAAAAATATTAACGCCAATAAAATAGAAAAAAATAAAATTTCCTTTATATGCTAAATTCGAATTAATAAAATGATTTACATACATACATATATACATAAATTTTATTATATTAAGAAAATCTTCCTCAAGAAAATTTATAATATTCTAAATTAAACCATTAGAAAATATTAAAAATGATAAATTGGCACGCAATATTACATAAAAACAGAATACATACAAACATATTTATTTTATTCTATAAATTTTTAAATATTGAACAAAAACATTTTTTTCGAAAATAAAATTTAATAATAATTTTGAACAGTGATGATAATTATAAATTTGTTATAATGTGTGTATGTTGTCTAAAATAAATTCAAAACAGATGTTAAAAATATTATTTTCTTTTTTTTTTGTATATTTTTATAATATTTTAATTGAATGTGATTGACCTTCACATTTTCCCTAAAAACAAAAGAAGAGAAGCAAATTTAAATTCTAATTATTGCCTCTTATGTTACAATTTTCTTGAAAAAAAAAAATATTCAAATTATTATGAAATTGAAATAAAAATTTCTTTTCTAGATGGTTGACAAAAAAATTTATAATTAATTCTTATAATAATAATTATTTTAAATAGATAAGTGTACATTCATAGTATCCACATACATGTATATTTATATATTATATAGAAAATATCTTATTATTTTAAAATTTTTAATTATGTATTTTTTTTTTAATTTTAGGCATCGATTTTAAAATTCGTACAATAGAACTTGATGGAAAGAAAATTAAATTGCAAATATGGTAATTAATTACAACACGATATTTATTTACATATTATGAATTTGTTAATAATTATAAGAAATAATTAATATATTTTTAATTATTATTTTAGGGATACAGCTGGACAAGAACGTTTCAGAACTATAACAACAGCATATTACAGAGGTTCAATGGGTATAATGCTCGTATATGATATTACACAAGAGAAATCATTTGAAAATATTAAAAATTGGATTAGAAATATTGAAGAGAATTCAGCAGAAGATGTTGAAAAAATGCTAATAGGAAATAAATGTGATTTTAATCAGAGACGACAAGTAAATTCAATAAATAATAATAATAAAAATATTATTTCATTTATTATTATTTACAATTTAAATGATTAAATTTTTTTCTTTCTTTCTTTTCTTTTATTTGTTTTACATAAAAAAAAAAAAAAAAAAAAAAAAGGTTTCAAAAGAACGAGGTGAACAGCTTGCATGTGAATATGGTATAAAATTTTTAGAGACATCTGCAAAATCAAGTATTAACGTTGAAGAAGCCTTTTTAATTCTTGCTACTGACATTAAAGCTAAAATGGAAAAACGAATGGTATAATAATTATTATTTTAAAAATTTATTTTGTTTGTTTTTAATTAATATAATTTTTTTTTATTTTAGGAAGCAATTAATCCACCAAAAGGTGGTCGTCAGTTAAGTAAAACTGATCCTCCTAAAAAAACAGATAGCTGGTTATCTAGGTGCAGTTTACTTTGACGTGTTATTATAAATTCAAAATACCGAAATAACAATAATAATAATAATGATAATAATAATAATAATGATAAATATTATAATTATAATAATATTTGTAACAGAAATATTTATAAAATTACTAAATTTCATTACAATAAATCACTTAAAATTTTATTATTTAATCTTATTTGTAATAAAATAAAAAATATATTGTACATTATGTGAACGGCCTGAAATACACACAAACTGGATAGACAATATATTATTTACGGAAACGAAAAAATAAAAAAAAAAATTGAGAGAAAAATTAAAAAAAAAATATAAAAATTCTTTTTTTGTGTAGTATTTATGATTTTTAAAATTAGAAATCGAAGGGTAAATATTATTGACAATGAAATATGTAGTATGTAGTACGAAAACTCATATAATGTACAATTAAAAAAAAAAAAAACAAATGTTTTTTTTTGTAAATTTTTTTAAGTAAAAAACAAGACAACAACTAGAAAACAGCACACATTTTATAATATTATATAATAATACTTAAAAATATGTATACATTTTTACATTACATTTAATTAATGCATATAGATATTTATACTGTTTTTAAATCATTATAACATGAAAATTAAACTAAAGAAGTAAAAATATAAAAATTAAAAATATTTTTTATTCAAATGGAAAAAACAAAAAAAAAACAGAAATTTTTCAAAAGTAATTAAGAAAAGGATGCCATAGCACAAAATAATAAAAAAAAATATAAACGTGAAAAATAGTGTAATTCTATAAATTTGATTTTTTATTTTTTTTTTTATTAATTTTCTTTATTTATTATTTTTCCTATAGCTTTTTGTTTTGATAAATTAAAAATTTTATTATTTGTAATGTCATTTTTGACATAACACATTGGTTGCCTATGAAAATGCAGATCAAAAGACGTCAAATTTACTTATTCAGTAATCAAAACAGTAATTACTGATTAGGTTAAATTGATGTTAGATCTGTCTTTTTGGTAAAACCTCATTAATATAAAAAAAAAAAAATAATTAAAAAAATAAATTTAATAAAAATCTTATCCCGCGAAAAATTTCCATTGAAATTGTAGTAAATTTTAAATAATTTTTTTTTTTTAAACAAAAGTGTATAAACAATATTTTTTTTTAATTTTATTATACTTTTAAATACACATTATTTAACAAGAATCTTAATTCTTGTATTTTAATAATTAAATATTAAATGGTGCTGGTTGTAAAAAGTTTAAAATTTTTTTTTTTTTTATATAAAAATTTTTAATTTAAAATAGTTGTTCGGTATTTTTTTTTTTTTTATAAAGGAAAATAATCTTGCAGCAAAATAATTATAATTTAATATGCATAATATTTAAGAATTTAAGATGCATATTTTCTTTATATAAGTTAAAAATTTAATATAAATTATACGTTTTTATTAAAAAATAGAAAAACGTTAAAAAAATAAAAGGTAAAAGTTATAAAATACTTAATTACATTATTTTAATCTACTATGATATATTATTATTATTTTGGAATGGAAAATTATTTTGAAAAAGTTGAAATTTTTTAAATAAATTCTCAAAAAAAAACATAAATATAAATACCAATATTCTGTTAATCGCATAACTGGAAGCAATGTAATATTATTGAATAATATTTTGATTTTCATTATTGAATTTCAAGTTTTGTAATTGATTGAATGGAACAATCCGACATGATGGGTCAAAATGATGTGACTAACAGAATTTGAATGGAAAATATGAAATATACCTCCGAAAAGTTTTTATAAAAATAAAATAAAAAGACAATAAAATTTTCAGATTTTCAAAATAAATTAAGAACATAATTAAACTAAATTTTACAAGAATAAAATTTTCTGATATAAATAAAATAATATTATATACTCTAATCAACGTTCATTAATTAAATATAATCATTAAAATATAAAAAAAAAAACAGATTATAAATTTTGTCTTATTACAATTTTCCATACAAGTTTCTTTTATCAGTGTCTTATCACTCTTATTAATAATAATTTAAAAAAATAAAAATAAATTTTAGTTTATATTTGTCTTATATTGTAATTTAATTAAATTCTAAATTAATTTTAATAAGTATTGTGTTTAATTGTTAAATTTAAATCATATTTTTTTTTTTTAATGTAATAATTATAGTATAAATTTCATTCCATCCCATTCGTTTTTTTTAAATTCTAAAATGCGATATTACTGCAAGAAATTTTTCCTAAAATCGAAGAAAAAAGAAAAAAAAAGTAAAAGTAAATTTCGAAAAAATTAAATAAAAATTCAAAAAATGACCTACAAAATTTTTTTTTTGTTAAAAAGAAAAATTATATGAAATTATAGTTCAATTTTTATTATAGATTTTGTTATATGTATGTATGTAATTTAATTTAATCTTTTTTATTGGTTATTGAAATTATCTATTATAGTGTTTTTTTTTTCTTTCCTTATGTATTTTTTTCATTTCTTTAGTAATTTCCTTGTGTAATCAATATTGTAATTTAAAATTAGATATCAATTCTATATTAATATAATTAATACATACAAAAAAAAAAAAAAAAAACTTTTTCACTGGTAGATTTATGTCATAAATATGATTTTAAACGTATAATGAAATACATATATATTATTTAAATAAAAATTTGGAAATATATGATGAAAAAAATTTAAATTCAGTTTTTATTTTCGATACACCCTTTGTCTTTGTTTGAGATCGTTCTTATCCGGTCATTTTGTATAGACAATTTTCTATTTCTTTAAATAAAAGTATAATATAATAAAATAAAAGTAATGATCCTTAGAATAGTTACTTACCAAAAAAATTGAATATTTACTTCTTAATTTAAATATGCATACTTTAATTTAAAATGTATTTAATTTATGTTAAATATTTTGTAAAGATAGAAATCGTACTAGTAGTGATGGTAATTTTAAAAAAATTAAACTATCAATATTTTCAATTTTATTCAAAATCAGTTTCTCTCAAAAGCTTCGTTTACTATTTTTAACAAATATAAAGATTAGTAAATGGTGATTTCTTTAAATTTCAAATTAGATTTAGATTTTATTGCATTATAAACTGGAAATCTTATAATTTAAAATTAATCCCATTTTCTATCGTAATAATTACAAATAAATTAAATAAAAAATAAAATCTAAAAAAAAGATCCACCAGCGATTCAAAATAATTTTTTTTTACCAGTTTAGTTAAAGCTTTTATGAATAAATAAAATCAAATGTTTATAATTTTTTATTCTAGAACAGAAAATATTTTTATTCTTGCCATTAAAAATTTTATATTAATTTACATTTAAATTGTTTTTTTTTTTAGTATTTAAACAAATTTATTTTTTGCTTTGATTTTCTCTTCTCATATAATTTAAAAAACATTTCTACATAATGGACATGTTGATTTGCTGCTTGTCGTAAACCATTTATACTAAAACAAAAAAAAAAAATATATGATTATTCAATTTTCATATGCATTTAAAAAAGCTTGAAATGTCGGATTTGATATAAAAACTTACAAGGCATGGTCCATGGAATTTTTTCTTACAGGTTTTACATGTTAATTTAGGTAATTGACATGTATCTTGATGTATAACTGTATAACAAACATAACATTCTTCCACTCCAGAAAATTTTTTATCCAAATTCTTTTTCCATAGTGACAGTCCATCAAATATACATCCATTCTAAAATTTTTAAATTAAAATTTAGCTTAGATGATCATATATCTACATACTTATATGTAAAAAAAATTAGATACTGAAAATAGTTAAAGTTAATAGAAATATTTCAAATACCTGATGAGTAAGAAAAATAGTTAATTGCATTCCTATATTACGTGATGATGCTTTACCACCAATTTGTTTACCCATTTCAACTTTTATAACACCTAAGGGATGATTTTGTGGTAACGTTATAACTAACTCCATTCTAGCTTCATCTATTGCATAAAAAGCTATTACCTCACGAGTTGACTGATGTACTGTGATCTAAAAAGATGACAATAAGATTTAGAAAATTTCGTTTTTACTTAAAACAAAATTAATTTACCTGCATATTTTCTTGTTTTTCGGTTTTATTTATTGCTTGTAAATCCTCTTGCCATATTAAATTTGATACATAGTTTGTTGTAAGCTTATCAACAAAATTCTTTTGTCGTGAATGTGCACTATTCCACCATTTTCTTACAAGAACTGGTAAATTTCGTAGCATTTGTGTATACATATAGCAAGCACATTTTTCAACTGACAAAGTTCCATCTAATAAATTATAAAATAAAATTAATTTTAAATTTAAAATTTGAAATTCTTGTTGATGTCAATCAGATCAATTTAAATTTTTTATTATTTTTTTTTTATATATTTTTTATGAATATTATATTTTTTGTAAAAATTCGACAGTGAATCTTTCGAGAAAAATGTTTGAATATACGGACAATGTAAAAACTTTTGAAGATCCGGACATAATATCTTTAGATTCAATTGAAAGCGAAAATTTCACAAATGTAAATGAAGAAATAGAAAGAGGTCAACGTCTTAGTGAAGAAAGAAAGTATTGGAAAAAAGAAAAATGTCCAGAAATTCGACCACTTTTTGAAAAAGATTTGAAAAATTTGAAGAGTAACAGACGAGCTGTCTATCGTCAAATTGTAGATAGAATGAAACCTATATATCCAGAAATCTGTAATCATTGTGGTAATTTTATTATAGATCGCTCAATTTTGACAAGAGATGAACACATTAATTTCTTATCTTTTCCAAAATGTATTAAATATCCTATGAGGGAGGAGTATGTTAAAGTTTATTATAAAAAAATATTCCTACCAAATTCAACAGCAAGAATAGAAAAATTAGCTACTCCAAATCTAAGATTAATGGAAAACACTATGAAAAATTTTTCTCATTATTTAAAAGCAAGACAATTAGAAAATTTAACATATATTATAACCGGTCGACATTTCGAAAAAATTGTAACCGTTGACAAAGCACTTACGTTGATACAACAAGAAAGAGATCAAAAACAATTAGTCAATAGAAAATTAAAAGAAGAAATTAAAGCTATGCAAGACATAATAAAATCGAAACGTTTGAAACAAATTCAACAAATAGTTTGGTCACTATTTGAAGTAATGAAAGAATATTTAATCACGGAACACGCAGTAAATTTAAAAAGCGAAATGCGCTTATTATCAAATTTTATTGTTCATAATATAGCAGAGTTCGCTGGTAAATAAATAAAATGAATTATTCATGAATAAATTTCAACATTAATATTTTTAGGTTTTGAAATTCCATCTTGTAATTCACAAGAGTTCATTGACAAATTTATTATAGATTTGGCAGATAATTTAACTATATGGCTAGAAAAATTTACAACAAGTTTTGGTTTCAATCCATTAATTAAAGAAGGTTCGTTACCAAAACGTAAATTCCTTATAGAAATCAAAAAATATTCAAAAGATACAAATGAATTTACAAAATACCCCGACGTTTGCAAAGAATTAAAGACAAAAACAATTGATGACTTTAGGGATGGAAACGGATCTATCTATTTGCCAATTGACGACTATATAGCTTTATCCGAACCATCAATTTCTGATTATGAAGATGTGCTATCTAATAAAGTGTGTGAAGGAGCCATGGATTCTGCAAAAAGTGAAAATATACTTTCTGAAGAAAAATAATTAATTTTTTAATAAATCATTGTTGCAATGAATGAAAATTAAAACGAATTTGTAAGAAAAATTAAAGTAAAATTATAAAATACAAATTTGTCCTTACCTTCAAATTGTGATTGCCAAATGTTTATTTTAAAAATTTCATTATTCACAGTTTTTTGATCATGATTTTTTAATATTTCTATTGGCATAGCTCTAAATATAAAGTTCAGCAAAAGCTAAAATAATAAATTAATAAGTTTTAGTTTTGTAAATCAAGTAAAAATAGTTATAAGGAACCTACTTCCTCATATTTATTATTTGTGATCCATGTAGCATATAAAGATTTCAATTCAACAGGTGCTTTTGAAAATATATAAATTATACAATCCCAGAGGTAAAAATATGTCAACGCGGAATCTTTTTCGATTGGTTTTAAGTCCTGAAGTTCAGTCAATTTAAAACTTAAAATTAAAAAATTTTATTATTAAAAACCAAAATCAATTAAGTTTGCAAAAACAATACCTAAACTCGTTTATATATTTTTCTACACGTTGTCCATACTTTTCAACAAAAGGTTCAAATCTTTTTAGAAAATGATAATCCTCATTTGATTTCTTAACAGCATTGAAACTTTCGTTATTCCTTTCTAATTCTTTTAAATCATCTTTCATTACATAGACTGAAATACCTTTCAGGATGTTTGCACAAGACTTTCGTACATTTTTCAAATAAGATAGATTTTCTAGCGAGAATTCTATAAGATCATTTACATTCATTTTGAAACCATGTTGACATGCCTAAGAAAAAAATAAATTTATTATTTTTTATTAAAATAAAAAACAAGTTTTCAGTATTATTACATTGTAAATAATATTGTAGTCCAAGTGAATAACACATGAAGCAATCTTCTCTAATATTAAGGCAAAGCTCACATTATCTTTTCCTTCTAAACATAATTTATCAATGTTTTTCTTTTTTTTTTCTGTTTAAAACTTCTTACCTTTCATATTTACCAAGAAATGAAAGTTTTTAAATAATACTAAATTAACCTCTTTAGAAAAAACATTTTCCCATTCATCTATAATATTCAAAAGAAATTGTGTTGAACTTTTAGATTTTTCAGCTTTGATAAATTTTGATAATGATTCAAAAAGCTCATAAACTGATACCGTAAATAATGAAACCTAAAAAATAAATATTATAATCACCAGTCGATTAATTTTAATAATTTTTTTTTTGTATATTTTAAAGAAAAATAATATTAATAAAACCTTAGGATCATAAATTTTCCCAATACTTTTTGAAATAGTCAAAACCCAAGAGCATAAACCAATCCTTATGCTATCCCAATTTTTAATATTAAGTTCACTTGGAAAACGATTCAATGTTTCTGTTAGCAATTTGATAAATTCATTTACTTCAATAAAACTATTGAATGGTTGGATTCCAATATCACTGAAATATCAAAACAATGAATTTTAAAATTTTCTTATGTGCATATGCGAGTATCTTTAAAATTTACTTACACATTATACAAAAATTTTTCTTTATTAACTGCTTGTTGTTCTCCTATCTGGCTAACAAATTTAATACAACTTTTTACTAAATTTTTGTCCTCTAAATTATTATAAGTTCGATTTGACATGTGATTTTCTAATAAGTTTCTTAACAAAGACGAAAGAAATTTTATATTATTGACATTGGACAAAATATCTTCATTGAAAATTAAAGAACATGGTGTTAAGTGAGGTAAAAAGATCTTCAATAAAAAAAAGAAATAATAAAATATATTATAATGAACAGATTTCCTCAATATTTGTAATTACTTCCGCTAAATTATTGTAAATTTCAAATTTTCCGTTTCTCAACAATAAATCTGCTACTTCCTCCATTAAAACTATAGGACCACTTTCGTTATACTGTTGATAATATTTTGTATGTAATAAGTATGGTAATGACCTCATCCACAGTAAATCACCATTTAAGGCTTTTTGGATGATTTTTTCTTTTAATATATTTACATTATCTTCTGAAGAATTTTGCAATAAAATAGTTATTTTTTCAGATAAATTTAGAATAATTGTTTCAACTTCCTCATTCAGCTGAAAGAATTTACTTTTTGTTAAAAAATATCATAAATCAATTTAATTTTACCAATGTAGAATTTTTGAGTAACGATTCACCAAGAGCGCTCATATTAGTACAAACAGCAATAAATTCACATGTTTCTGAGGACCAATTCTCTGATAGTTCACCATCTTCATTTTTTCGTTTTTCGGGGTTTTCAAGTTCTTCTTCGTTTAAAGAAGTTTCATCATCGCTTTCTGCTTCACTATTTTTCTTTTTATCCAAAGTAACTTCGCAAAATAATTTAAATATAACAGAATATGAGTAATATACTCTCCTATAAAAATTTCGGATCGTATCAATAGAAATACTTCGACTATAATCATTTGTTAAATTATCGACGGTTATAACTTTTTCTAGAGCTTCATGAAACTTACAAATGTTATTAAGATCAGTTAAAACTTTTGTATGCAAATCCGAAAATTTTAATAAGATATCTATAAATTCAACGTTTTCTTTATTGTTTTGATTTTTTTCGTTCAAATCTTTTAAACATAAAATTAATTTTGCAACCATATTTGATATATTATTCATGTTTTCTATTGACAATTCATTACTACTTGTTATTCTGTTCTCTAAAATATTTTTGCAATCGAACAAGAGTGATTCATCCAATGATATATCTTTACAAGATAATGAATCTTGCCAACAAGTTGTTACTTCCCATAAGGAATCTTCAGATAAATTCTCGTTAACACTCGAATTAATACTAAATTTAAATAATTCCAAAAAAACTTTATTTCTGAATTCGTTTGTAGAATTCTCATCCATACATATTATAGGCATTATTTGAGCAACAAAACTGGCGCACGTATCTATAATTTTTTCTTTCCCAGGTGTATTTAATGGTTCAATAACAGTGTTTACAATATTCTCCATTACATTATTATTAATTAAGATTTTATCACAATCTGGTTGGAAAAAGCACTTTTTTAAAATATTAAATTTTTCTGATGAATCTTCGTTGACTGCTTCTTTTGATGTTTGTATAATAATATTTACTACATCCTTCTCCGTTAAAATATCTCTTATTGCTGGCTCAACACACAAAGGATATGACAAAATCCTTTGCAAAATTAACAACTGCAGTTTTGGATTCCGAATCTAAAATTTTTAGTTATATGATAAAATTTAATTTTCAAATTTAAAAAAACAATAAAATTGAAATTTACTTTTACTAAAATTTTTAACTGTTCCGTTTTTTCGCTTTCATTAAGCAGATGTAAAATTCCAAAGAGTACATCCAACAAATCGTCGGAAATAATTTCAGAATCACTTATAATGTTGATGATTCTTGTAATTGTTGTCAATAAATTTGCATCAGAAGATAATCTTTTGTAAAAGTCAATGTCCCCAAACATCTGACAGAGAGTTTTCAATTGACAAGCGTATTTGCAGGTCTCATTTTTAGTAGTGTTTTCCAAATATATTTTAACAATTTTAATGACGATTTCTTTTAGATCCTTTGAAACATATTTTGAGCACTTAATTTTAGTGTCACTGTCTTTTTTAGTAACATTTTCTTTTGAGTTATCTCCAAACTTAACTTTACTATCATGAAGAGCTGGTGAGGCAGAATATAGATTCTTAATTAATTCAACAATATTTTTTACAGATATTTCTGATAAATTATTCACAGAAATACTGTTTGTAATAACACTTAATAAACTTGACCAAAACAAAGATAGCAATTCTGAATAGCATTGAGTTTGACTGTTACTTGACCAATATGCAATCAATGCCGAACAATGCTTATAAATATGTTTGTTCATTTGGTTTTCAATTTCCAAATTCCATTTTAAAAAATCTATAACATATTTTTGTAAATATTCTTGATAAACTTGATTTAGAGCAATATTTTCTTTAACATCATTGCTAATTTTTTTAAATACGAAACGTAAACATTCAAAATAAGCGATGACTAAAGAAATTACGTCTGCTTTGCTAATATTAACATTAGTTAAATTTGAGCTCAATTGGATTGTAGATTTCACATTATCAAAAAATTCTATATAAAATTCATAAAGGCGCAGATCTTTAACACTATTTTCAGAAAGCTTACACAAAAATGGAAGGAAATTTCGAGCAATACATGATGCACCACCATTTGAAATTGCTTTAAATATAGTTGCAAATTTTGGCTGTATAACTTTTTTAAATGTAATTTGTTCATGCCAATCAATAAATAAGCTTTGAATTAACAACACGCATTCCCAAACGTGCGGAGAAGTAAGGGGATCTAGGTCATCTAAATTTTGAAAACATACTTGTATTATTTGACTTTTATTAGCTTCTATTAAACGTGGCGCATATTGTAATACAGCAGAGAGCAGTTCAAAGAAGGCTGACCTGTATTGGAAAAATACTATGAAAATTATTCAATGCAAAACTTCTTTAGAATTTTACCTAATTTTAGAAATTTTGTTTTTGGAGAAAGACCAAAACTTTTGATGTTGTAATAATGTTTTACATTTCTCGTCAACATCCAAATTGGATTTTGATGAGGTTTTCTCTATAAAAAAGGAAAACGTTTTCATACTACTAATAATCACTCGTTGATATTTGCTTTCAGCTTCTTGGGGTGTAACACTTTTCATATTTGATAACGTTGATGCTGTATGAAAACTTATATTTTTTGTTAAATAGTCCATTATCTCATTTTGGCAATATAATAAAACTTCTTGAACTTTATGTGGAGGAAATGATGTTTTAAATGACGATATAGCTGCACTACTAGCAGGGCCATAACTATCAAATTGGCTTGTTATCCAAACTGGCGCTAATTGTTTAATATAAGGTGCAATAAATTTTCCAGCTTTTTGACTAATACTACTTTGTACTAATTGTGTTGCTTCTCTCACGCGATGCTCAACATCGTTAGATAAATTATGATAGAATTTTGGCCATAGTGGTAAAATGCTTTTTGTCATTTCTATATCTGATTCCATTATTTGAATATTTAATTCTTGAAGAGCTTTTGCTTTAGTTACAGGATCTTTTTTGGAAAGTTTGCGTAATGTAACTTGAATCTCCGGTGATATATTAGAATCAAATGTCTCCGGCAAGGAATCTACAGTTGAGAAACCAGGTGCAAGAGGAATCATTCCAAGATCAGAATGAGCTGTAAATCCAACAAAAGTTGGAACGGTGCTTCCTAGAAGTTCCGCACTTCTTCCACTGTTAGATGGCTACAAAATTCAATTTCACAATTTTAATCAATTCATTTTGAATTTTAATAAACTTACTCGGGCATTATTTTTGGTTCTCGGAGCTTGTTTAGTTTTTCCACCCATAATGTCAAAATATTTAAACTGGATAATTGTTTTGCAATTTTTTATTTAATTTGGTTTTATTTATTCCTCAAAATTGGACGATCCACGCAAATAGTTTTATGAATTACGAGATGACGTTTCTTACTTGTCAAAGGCACTGATGTTTATTAATCAACTAATAGCTGTTTTTAAAGTTAGAACTCAATAAAAAATTTTCTCTAGATTGACTGAAAAGTTTAAATTGATTACGTGTGTGCTTTACTCATGCCTTTTGAATCAAATTTTTTTTTATTTTTTCTTCTGAGATGAGAGAAAAATGATGTTATTATTTACTCAATTAATGATTTATTTATTCTGGACAAATTTTAGATGTGATTTGCAGTGTTTTGGGCATCGCCATTTGTCAAGTTAAATATGGTCCCATCACTATAATACTAAATACATATTTAATAGTTTTATTCCAACATAGCTTTTTTAGTTTATGACATCCTCATTTATGTCAAGTATACCTTTCACCCGTAGTCAAAATACAAATAAGTAAAAAAATGAAACGATAAATGTGACAATGACATTTCAAAATTATCGTTAATAATATGTGGAAAGTGTGATCGTTGTTTTTCAAATATTATTAAATTAATAAAAAATACCGCTTCCTACTATTACATAACATGTAACATAATTTTTCTTTATAAGTTTGAATTAAACATAATCTTTGATAAAACTATTTTAATAAAAATATTAAAAAACTTTTTTGCGTTGCATTTTAGTGTAACATTTGCTGTCAATTTTGATATAGTAATTTACTATATTTTCATTAAAATGGCAGTATAGTTCGTTTTATTTTGAAGTTAATTAATCAAAACAAAGAGAAAATAAACAAATAAAAACACGTGTTTTTTAATATTTTCATGTGAAGCGAGTTTGAGCAAACTTTTATTTTTGTAGAAGTGGTTTTAATTTTTTAATTTGCTTTTCAAAAAAATGACCAAATTTTTAGCTTATTACCATTTAAGGCCAATACATGATATAAAAGACTTCATAGGAATTTCTGAAGACAGTAGTAATTCAAATATTATAGCAACCATTGGAAGAAATGTTGTCAGCATCACAAATGTAAGTTTGCAACATAAAATTCTTAATGGAAACTAAATTTTTTTTCTTTAGATTGCAAGTCAAAAAGAAATTTGTAGCTGGACGGTTTTGGATAAGTTATCGAGTAAAGTTGTGTACGATAAAGCAAGCAGATCGTACGTTGGCGTATTTGGCAATTCTAGCATCCGGTGTTGGAATAGTGAAACAACAGATTTAAATAATGTTAAAAAATTAAAGGTATGTATTAGATATTGTGCAATTGTACTTTAAATTTAGTAAAATTTTTTTTGTAGTTTAAAAGAAAAATATTAGACTTAATACCGAATGACACCGATAGTGTATTAGTTCTTTATTCGAATGGAACATGCGAACCTTTGCCTTCTGCTATTGAAAACAGAAAATTATGTGAAGAAACTGAAGGAGAATTTCGTGAAAATATGGAAATATTTCAAAGCAAGCTTTTCAATATTCCTAATTCACCTTATAAACTTTTAACTTATTTTCTTAAAAGAGATAAGAAAATTGAGCTTGTAACTATTTTACTAGATAAAGAACTTAGCACAGTAGGGGAGCCAGTCTCTTATTGTTTAATTCGACATGATGAAAGTTTAAAATTAGCTGGTTACACTATTGTCGAAAATCAATTTTCACCTTGTCTCCTTACAATTTGTAAGTGATGTATTATTGAAATGTGACATAAGAAAGTTAATAATAATTAATTTTAGGGTCGGATAAAAGAATATTCATATTACCATTAGATAAAAAATCATCTCCAGAAGATTCACCGGGCAGTTTTGTTGCAATGTTAAATGCCCTGAATACTACACAGCCATTGTCAATAATTGGGCTTTCGAAACACTGCATTGTAATTTATGGGGCGAACACTTCTCAAGAAGGTGGTTCCCTTGTTCTTTTCAATACGCAATACAATGTAGTTAAAGCAAAACAATTTTTTAAAATTTATTTTAATTTTTCAAAACTTTGGGTAATCAATAATTATATATTATTAGCAATGGGACAAAATTTATCTGTTATTACTTTTGATGTACGTCAAGAATTACTTTGTGACATGGTGGGCTCACAATTTTCGAATCATAATCAACCGGTTGCTATTGATGAACTAATAGAAGAATTGAATGAGGAGTGTTATCTTGAAGAGAATATATTTTACGCTGAAAACGCAAAAAAACCAGTAAGAACAACACCCTCTAAAATTGATGATATAAAAAAATGTGAAGAAGGTGAAAAGGCAGATGGTAAAGACGTAGCTTTTCGACCTTTTCAAACTTTTGATGAACAGTATAAAAGCTTATGCAAACAAAATATACATGTTGAAATGTTTTCAACAAAAGATACTAATGATGATATATTTTCTGTTAATTTAATGTCCAACATGAATGCTGATAGATTTACACGCGAAGAATTTGAAATTTTCGCGAAAAATCTAAAGAAATATGGAGCAAGTGAACAGGAAATTTCTGAAAAACTTATTATATTAGCAATACGAGCAAACTTAATTGAAGATATTGCTATATGCTTAAGAACATATACAAACATTTATGAACGGATTATCGTAAGTGTACTAAAGTTTTCATTACAAGGAATAACATTGAAAAACTTACCTGATATAACTGATAATTCTAAAACAAATTCTGAAAATGGGTTTATTTTGAAAGAATATTCATGTCCTAATGATGATTTTCCTAATGTTGATATAAGTTTAGGTAAACCTAATATAATAGCAGTATCGAAACCATTCGACTTACTTAATGTTGTACTTTCATGTTCTTTTGATGTTGATTTAATTTCAAAATATATTCGATCTGAAATTGAATTAGAGGAAGCATTAATTCTTATGCAACATTTATATAATTTAATTAAATCAAAAGAAATTTGTTTAGAAGAAAGGGCTGATACAAGTATAGAATTCGATGAAGATTCTAAAATTTTACAATGGTTTGGAATTATATTAAATACACATTTTCAAAAATTATCACTTTCACGTGACATTGAATTAATTGAATTATTAATGAAATGGAATGAAATTATATTAAAATTTAGAAGTGAGATACTTGAATTACAAAATGTTGCATCGTCTTTATATAATTTAGTTGAAAGAAAAAATCGTGTTCAAAAAAGTAAATATTCGAAATGGTATTCTGTAGAACGAATACAATTTTTTTAAGTTTTTAAACGAATTAATGAAATATTCTTTAAAGAAATGTATTTAAAAAAAAAAAGAAATAAATTTATTTTAATGTTTAATTTTGAAAAATTGTTTTCGTATAATTAATAGTTCAATTAGTACTGCTCATATTTCCTATCTATTTTCATAGTAGATAAAAGATATGGGCATTATTCTATTGCTATGTTAAATATAAATTAATTAGTTCTATTTTGTAAATTAATTCACTTTAAGCTTATTAAGAAGTAAGCTTAAGCTACATATAATAAGAATTAAACTGCAATTAAATTTAAATCGTTGAAATTTATCCAAAGGATATATAAATTTTAAATCGTCTTATATCCATACAAAAGCATAAAATATTGTTGATTATAAATATACACAATAATATATTTGCTTATCAATATATAAAACATAGCTAATTCGCAAAATTGCATTTAAGACAAAATGAAAAAGCAAAAATTTGTTTTTGATTTTCTTATTCTCTTAATGCATCCTTTATTGTACATCTTATATTGTATACATGTATGTATATGAACTTATATGGAAAATTTAACCTTTTTAAAGTATGTATCTTTAAAAAGAGTTTTGAGGAGGAGAATTTTTACTGGAATGCAGTTTTTTTATGCGCACAACTGTACCCTTTTTATTGCATTCTGGTTGAGAAAAATTCTAAAAATAAGACGGGCGATTGAAGATATAAATAACACTAAGTTATTCCTTTTTTTTATCATTTTATGTTGAATATAAAATGTAATAAATGTTTATATATGTATAACATACATTATAGGGAACCGCGAACTCTAGATCAAATCGTAACGTTGATTTTTTAAAATAAATCGCGTTTTTTCTGTTACAAAAATAAAAACAAAAAACGAAAAAAAAAAGGAATATATTAAAAGTATTTGTTGAATCTCCATCCTCCAAAATGTATGTATTTAAAAAGAAAAGGGTAGGTTGAAAATAACTGAATTAATAGATTTAATATTTTCGTTTGAATTTTCTCCAATTAGAATGATTTAAGATTTCTAAAATGATTATACTAAAAAATTAAATATGTATGTATTAATTTTCTTGCTTTAATATAAAAATTTAAAGATATTTTATTTAATAATCACATATTCTATTCAGCCTACTCCTACAGTCTTATAGTTCTAGTCCTAAGTAATAACAGTTCCAATATAAGTAATTATACACAGAACAATAATTATTAATTTATAATTAATATGTTGAAATATATTAAAGCATTCTTTAAATTTTAATAAATTTTAGATATTTCCATATGGAAAAGGTACATATAAGGTAATCGGGCTTATTTATGTTAAAATAGTGAGATTCAAATGATATTTCGGATCAACTGCGAGTCTTACAACTGCGTGATGTTTCATTGCAATTAATTTGGAATTATAAATAGTTAAGCTATGAGAATTTTTATGGTCTTTACATGAATGGGATCTATTAATTTACATTAATGGGATCAATTTCGTGCCTTTACAAAAAATTTTAATTTCAATCCTATACGTACAAGACTAACTGAATTGTGTATTTTAAAAGTGACCTAAGGCCATTTGCAATTTCAAAACCTCTTTTGTTTCCAAAGCAATGACAATGAAAATATTGTTAGAATTTAGACTTGTGTAGTTAAATAAGAAAATAAAGTACTTACAAAGCAAATAACAAGTTTATCGAATGTTTAAATACTTTAAATGCAAACGGAGGTCAAATGATTCATTTTTATTTGAAATCGTTTTAGGCCACTTGCAAAATAAACCATCGAAATATTCCAGTGTAAAAAAGAAAGTTTTATATTTTACATTCTGAATCAGCCTAATTTATCAGCATCCAAACTTTAAAAATATATGTACAATTTTTTTTTTTTAGCAACGAGTTAAAGAAAAAAAGATTACATACCAGTTATTATAAAAAAAAAAAATAAGAATATTGGAGTTCAGAGCAATGGTAAAACGAGCGATAAAATAGAAACGGAGATAAAAGTATTGTTACTTTTGAATTTTTTTGTGCTTTTTATTCGCTTTTTTCAACGTTCAATTTTTTATTATGTAGGTACCTTTAATTTTGATCGCTTTTTTTTTTTTATCACCGAAATAAAATGAACATTTTCTGTGGTTCACCTTTTGAAATGGGTCTTTTTTGTTTTTTGTTTGTTTGTTTTTGAAGAGTCAGAAATTGAGAAAAGAAATTATTTTTATTTTTCTAAACTGGTTTTATTTCAAGTATCATGTTTTTGCGTCTTGTATTCTTTTTTTTCTTTTGGTTTTTTTTCTTTTAGTTTGCATCTCGAAATTTTTTTTTTTTTTATTCTAAGTTGTCTTATTTCTTCGCACATGCCAAAATCAAAATTTTTATATTTGATCAATTCAGAAAAAAAAAAAATGGTTTTTGGTGGTTCTTTCCTTTCTTTCTTTTAATTTTTTTTTAATTGGAAAACTCCCTACGGCGAAGTTTTTTTTTCTTTTGCAAAATTTTTAAGTACAAAAAACCTGGAATTATGCGTAAAGAGTTCACCTTATGTTAAGAAAAAAGAGTGCGCTATAGAAGTGTTTTTTTATTTTTATCATATTGTCACATACATATATTTTTATCCATCATTGCTATTGTTATCTTAAAAATTTTCCAAATGTTAATCTTGAAATAATTTAAAAAATATTAAATAAAATATTATGTTAGAAATCTGCAAGAAAATATTTTCTTAAAAAAAAATTAATTATGTACTTACATAGGTAATTTTTCATGAACACCCGAATACAAGTGTTATTGTGTTTCAGAGATGTTGGCAGTCGTTGACATATTGTCAAATTCAATTTAATTTTGATGGTTAAATATTTTCATTTTGTTCATGTCACATTACGCGTCACACCTAATAAAGCATTAAATACCGATAGAATGCTGTACATAATTATGGACGTATGGGACTGTTCCAATATTTTAAAAATCTTTTAAAAAAATATGATTTTAAGGGATGAATATTCATTATATACATACATACATATTTATACAGCATATTTTATTTAAAAATTTTTTGAAATTTAAATAAAATTCTATTCTATAATTTTCTCGTTAGAGGTAGTTGCCATCAAATTTATTTATTTTTTCATACATTATTTTTTTATTTTTTGTATTCAATTAATCTATACCAGTCTATACTAATGAAATTTAATTGTAAAACAAATAAATTTTTAACAAAAATATTTTTGGAAAGGTGTCCTTTTGGACAGAATATAAGCAGAATTTTATTTAAAATATTTTTAAATTTATTTTAGTGGTAATTTTTTTAGTAGTGATACGGATAAAATTATTTACTTTTATTTCATAAAATTAAATTGCAAAATTCCTCTACTTTAATCTGATGCTTTTAATATGATTTGTAAAAATTATTATGGTAAGTTCTTATTTTATAAATTCTCTTACATTGATTATTCTCTTATAAATACTAAAATATCGGTTCGGCTATGTGACACCAATCAATAATAGTGACTTATAATTCTTATATGTAAACCTATATAATGTATTTAATTTCAATATACATATTTTAATATAGTTTATTATAAAAATTTAATTTTAATATAAAATATAAAGTATGTATATTAAAAATTTTTAATAGAACGTAAATTCATAACCCATCTCTACATCTCTATAATATTAAAAATTTATTGGACTTTAAAATTATAATAATTTCATTATTTTTGATTTTTGTATTCTTTCTCCATCTCTTTTTCTTACTCTTTATTTATCATTAAATACCTGTATGCAGAAAAATTAAAATGCTGTCAAATTTAATGACTCCAAACCTTCATTCATTCCTGCATATTTGATTTTTTCGTTTTTCTTCCTTTTAGTAACATTATAAATTTTAGTTTTTTCGTAACAGAGAAAAAAAGAATCAAATATTTTAATATATATATGAGTGTACATAAATTTATTATAAAATAAATAAAATCCAATTATTAGTTATGAAAAAAATAAAGAAAAAAAAAGAGAATAAAAAACTATAAGCAACTTAACCACAGCTTCAACAAACTTAGATGATTATAAAGAGATTTATGATTGTTGATATAAGGAAAAAATATATTAAATTTTATTTTATTTTGTTCGTTTCTTTTTAATACTTTTGCCAAAAAAAAAAAATTGAAAGAAAATGTACTCATTAGTCCTTACACTCCGTTCGTCTGTCTGTCCGTGTGTTAGTTTACAAAACTTTTACACCCTTTGTTGATAGAAAGCTGAAAATTTTTTAATATCGTTTTTTTTTTTTCAAGACACTAATTTCAATTCTTTCATCCTAAATGTATGTAATAATTAGATATAAATATTTTTTGTATATATGAATGAAAGTAATTTAAGTAACTGTTTTCTTCAGTACTATATAATAGCAATATTTTCATTTGTTCAAAGGAAAAGTGCTACTTTACAAACCATATTGATTTAATTTAACTTTCTTTTAAGTATATTTTTAAAATTGTATATGCGTATGTAATTATGTATATATATGGTGTTATTTACTGGAATTTAAAATGAAACTATGTATTTATTGCAAAATTCATATATGTTTATATATATATATACACGATTTTGGTATATTTTAAACTATAGAAAAAGAGTGAAAAAAAAATACAAAAGACAGGAAATTTAATTATGCATTTTGATGTCCAAAAAAAAAAAAAGCGCAGTCATTAAATGGATTTTTAAATAAATATACTCACATACAATGTATTTGATCAAAAAAAAAAAAAAAAACAAAACATAAAATAAAAAGAATGAAGATTATTTACATTAATGGGCAGCGTTATTTTATAGAAATCAAAAAAAAATTATAAAAAAAAGGCTATATACGCATTCCTTTATTATGCAAGATATTTAAGTAATAGCATTATATGTACATATGTGTATATAAATATATATATATACGCACATTTTATTTAATTATTTTGAATAACATTAAATAGAGTTAGAATAAAGAAATTCAAAGATTTTTAGATTCT